GCAAACTTTGGGGGAAGAAATCTCTGAATTACGATTCACCACCACCTCGGCTTATTGGCATAAGTAAACTGTCAAGGAGTCCGAAACACTCAGGCTTTTTATTTTTCTTTTGTGAGCGATCATGGACGTGGTGGAAATAGGTTTTACTCTTTGAAAAAAAAGGGGGACAAAATAAACAGATTTATAACGCTTGTGGGAGAGCCGAGATTGTGCGTGGTATTCAGTCAGTGGCGTAGGACCTGGGGCAATGAGGGGGGGGGGGCACGTGCCCCGAATCAAATGGGGGTAAAATAAAAATAAAACAGAGCGGGGGAAGGTACATGACAGGCGATACGACTCCTCCCACCCCTCCAAACCCACACCCTTTTTCAACTTCATTGAAGAAGAAAAAAATTGCGCCACGTATGATTTCAGTGCCCTCTCAATGTATGTACCCATGCTTCGCCACATACGTATTCGCTGAAATGGGGAGAGGAGAGAGAGAAAAAAAATACCACCCAACTTCTAGTATCGCTCACCCACACTCCACGTCCTCCCTCGCCTCATCTATTGTTGGGGATTTTTGTTCTCCCCCAAAAGGCTGACCCTCCCTTTAGGATTCCTGTTGAAGATAAAGGGGGTTATTCTTTCGTCTTGTGGGGTAAATCTCGACGAGGCCGATCGTGTATTGATACCTGGTGCGGATGAGGGGGGAACACGTTCCCACCGCTATTCTTCTTTTTAATTGATGTTTTCACGATAAGCTATGCTAGTTAGCGATACAATAGGATCACTTTAGCTCCGATAGCCCATTCCATCCTTTCAATTTCATTCAAGTCCAGTCTCGCTTCGTCACCTCTTTTCTCTCCTACCCCCATGTAGCTGGTTTCAACCCCCGAGAAAGGTGTCAAAATCCCAATCACATTGCCCCAAACAAAAGTACTGGTTACAAAATATCCGGCTGTAAAGAACGATGTCAATGAAACCAAACTAAATTGCCCAATAAAAGTGCCCCACTTTCTTAATACCAGTTTTATACGTGTTTTTTTTTAAACCGAAATATTCGTCGAAATGGATAAAGATAATTGTAGACGAGAACCAATGAAGGCCATCTTGGGCTTTCAATTTAACTGTTTCCATTATCTCAATGTCCCCTAAACGTTTGCAGGTGTATATAGAGGTGTAAACAGGTTATTTTCAAGGCGTGACAGTATTCATTGATTCCTTTCTTTCCTCACCTTCTACAAAAATGTTGCTCCAGGAAATCCAAAGTATTATATTTTTCAAGAATAGAAGGAGCATGCTGATAGATATGGTGCAGGTAAAGACTACCAACAACATACCCGAAATGGCACTATAACAGATGATTATTTATCAATTATTATCAATCAACTCACTCACGTAATGTACAAACTTTTCCTCTTCCTCTACCTCCAGACTGTATCACCTCTACCCCAATATCGCTGTTTCTCCCATCTCGTCTCTCCTTCTCTCTTTCCCTCTCTCTTGTTTCTCCTTCATATTATTGTATGACTGATTTTACTTTGTAAACTCAATGCAATTCAGTCCAATAATGAATACCATTTCAATTCAATTCAATTCAAAACTATTTCAACTACTTAAAGTAACTATAGTATTATTAAAATGTCATTTTATTTCGAAAATTTTTCAGCCAAATGACCAACAAGCATTTGTAGGGGGGGGGGTGTTGACAATATTCAAAGATAACTTTCACAAGTTTTACCTCAAACAGAGTTAGATACCATCATAATGGCTACGTACATGTAGGAAACTATATTTTGACATTTCACTTTTCTTCATTGTTTTTATTTTTTTAAATCATGAATATTGTAATTGAGAACTTACACATTTCGAAGCTACATTCTCATATTTAGAAAGAGTAGAAATGCTCTTTGATATTGTGTGATATTCAAAGGCGAGACAAAATTCAATTAATTCAATTTAAAACACCAGATTTCTGAAACGAAGATGATGAAAAGTGACATTAAAAAAAAAAAGCTTTCCTAAAATGGATGTTCCATAGTGGGTTCACTAGGGCAAATAAAAAAGGGTTCTAGAAAGGGAATTAGGCGTATATCTCTGCTTTATCAAAAGAAGCTGAACAATTAGAACATTCCGCGCACTGCAAAAGGAGCGCCTCTTTTCATCAACTGTATCGTTTTGACTGCAAAGGGGGGGGGGGGGGGGCTAGGAGAGAACAAAATAAAATGTTTGGGTCAAGTCAACACGGTCCATCAGGAAATCGTGTGAAACAGTGGGAAATTACGTTAAAAGGAATTAAAATGGTACGTCAAAGAACCCGGGAACAATAAAAGGAAAGAGGCTATACATCGTAAAGAGAAGAAGAGCCTGAGACAAAGTTTGAATTAGTCATCGTGTAAATAAAGCCCAGGTGAGATCAGGTTTGTATAGTAGATGGCCCCTAAAACAAACTAAGGAGAAAGCTCTTTACAAACTTTTTTCTTCTCTTAAACCCTTTCATGAAAACTTCCACATTTTTTGTTTTGGCTTAATAACGTTCGATTCAGAGCCTTAAAAAATTATACCGGATGAATGACTAGAAAGGGTAAACATTTCTGCACACAATGTACCCATCTCTGTGCATAACCATACTGCGTTCGATACCAGGAATTAACAAAAAAAGGAAATAAGGCTTAAAATTCTTAAATTGGCAACACATTGAGAGGTTCGAAGTGCGATTAAAATGTTGCATATTTCAACTTTTCAACTAAGTTTCTAGCCATGTATATTGTTTTCAGAGACATTGAATAGTATTAGAACAATGTCAGATATTTATTATTGTTGCCATTTTGATAAACAATGTTTGGGATCACTTTAGCCCTATATAAATATCTTGTCCTGAAAGTTTATGCGTGCCGATATTGCACTAATATAATCAATGCACTATAACTCCTCACTAAGTTGTGGCCCTTTTTTGGAACGATTCATGTCGTAGGCCTAAATTTGAAATAATATCCAAGCAGAGAGACGAATCCAGGCGGTTGACATATACTCATCTTCATGGAGGTTTCAGTCTCAGATCACTTTTTAAGCTGGTTGTTTAATAGCGTTCGGGTTTTATAAGGTTTCAATAATCATCTTTCATGCTCGAAGTAAATACCTTGCCAATATGAATTTAAAGGAAACTTCACCCTAAAAAAATAACCTTAGTTATTCCCAGAGGTTTATTGTATTCTGCCAATTGATCAAACGATTCTCCTAGTGTATGAGATACGTATAACGCAAGAATAATGTACAGATTCTCAGCACGACATGGGCATCGCCATTCTCTTGATAACATGACGTACTATGCGATGTCGTTTATCAAGTAAATGTATTCTAATTTATGGATGCTTCTTTCCTATGTGTGTGTGATGGTGAAGTAATTCATATACTTGCTATTATCCTTTGTACTATAAGAAATTGTCAGAACGCAAATTGAATGAATAGGTGGGTGTTCCTCTGGGGTGTTCTAAGGTTTCCCATAAATGCAAGAGATTTGTTAATTGTTGTACTTTAGTACTTTTAAATAAATGATTTATTATCGTTCCCCTGTTACATATTTTTCACCAAATATAATTGTTAACCCTCTCAGCTATTATTTCCCCTCATTGAAAAGTAAAGGTTTTATTTTGAATTAAAAAGTATATCCAACTAAAGCTCGGTGCATGGTACACGAACAATTTTGTCTACATGTTACGTCACATTATCAAGAAAATGGCTACGCAAAAGAAAAAACATTACTTCATGCCAATAATATCTTCATTTAGATACCCTTGTACACTTTCGTAAGGAATATTGTACACTTAATGACAGGAAAACGTCCCATTTACACTAGTTTAAGTTCATTTGAAATGGGGCAAAACTCCTGATATTATACACTCAATATTGTGTAATAACAACGTTGAGATATGCAGGGTGTTCCTCAAATGGTTAACCGAAATTAAAAGGTCATCCATTTCAAAACTACGAAATGTCATATCTTTTAAAGAACACCCTGTATATGAATCCTATATCAAATTTTAAAATATTTTGCCAAAGCTGATAAGTTTTGACCACTTTGTTGCATTTTTTGCACAATAAAAAACAAAAAAACTGGCAAAGATTTTCTTTGACTCATCTTTTCGTGAGGCTTTTATCTTATCACTATACATAATTATAAAACCCTCGATTTCTCTCGCTCTTATTTATCCATGGCAGATACATTGTTTATCGTTATGTATCTACATAATAAAGTATTATATTCGTATTTATACTTTGCAAGAAATTTAGTCAGATATGTAAAGAGCATTAAATAAATATTATTCCGATTCACCACAAACATAAATATATGTCTAGACCCAATCATCACTACCATCATTCTTCACATGATCATCACCTCCCCATACACAACAGAAACACAGAAACACGCGCGCTCACACAGAAACACAAGCGCGCACACATACCTCCCTCACACATTATATACAAATGTTGTGTTGTTTAATTAATGCATTTTGAAGATGCTTTCATATACTATGTGCTAATTAAAGACTTCGGGGTTATCTTTATTATTATATTATCATTGATGTACATTAATACCACAGTAATTTTTATATTGATATTGTAAACCAACAGTTTAATAATTTACTGTCTGGTTACCTCGCCCACATTGTTGTCTCACATATATGTGATGTGCCTGCAAAATCGACTGTTCATACATGTTGATAAGAATCTATGCTTGTATAATTATGTTTGTCATTTCTGGATTAATTTGCATGGTTTGCTATTACTGCTGATGTATAGATGATCAACAAATAAATGGGCTCATCACCCACCCTTCATAATCAAGCTGCTTGGTCGAGTTCTTTGTGGCATCAACTCTAATCTTACTTACTCCGTATTACGACAAAAAATACCATCGATTAACCATGGCATCCAAACACACATTATGCAGCATCAACTGAATTAGAAACCCTAATCAGTATTAAGAAGACAATAAATAAGTCAAAGACAAAGAGTATGTTTACATTTTCCATTGATCACTTTAATCAAATTTCATACATCGGTATTACTGTTCTAATTTGACAACTTCAACATAATATATATCTCGGCGAATTATATACACATGCATTCAGACTATATACAACGATAATGACGTGTAATATGTACATACATATTTTAGAAATAGTGGCTAAGATTTCATAAGACCTATGTACAAGGAATTTGTTCTAAGTCATATACGCAAATACAATTACCTCCTGTTTATACACGTCCTAAATAACTCGACATGTATTCGTCTATTTTGACTTGAAGATTATTCTATAAATAAGCATTTTTTCCCATTAAAATCTATGATTTACATTGCGATACCAAGATAGGAAAGATGAAAGAGATGATCTTGATAAAAAGACTAAAGGACGTAGAGGAAATAAAGAAAAGGGAAAATAAAAGAATAACAAATAACGTCAATAAAAAACGAAGAAAAAGATACATACGAGCAATAGGAAAACCTAGCAGATGAAGAATAAGGGGGGGGGGGGGTTAAAATAGAAAGGTAAAAAGAATGAGCATAACAAAAAAAGGAGAATTTTACCTCGCAATTTATGAACACTTTCAAGTGGCCTTAATAAGTATCAACATCTTGGTTCATCATAATGATGAATACATATCCTACGTTTCCTAAGTGAATTTAATTTAAAATAATACAATAAAATAGACTTGAATGTTGAGGTTAATGACAAACTTGGTCATTCTTATCATTTGTTCAACTTTGACACCGACTGGGATATATTTTAAGTTAAACTAACTATCTAATCAATATGAAACTATATACTTTTTAAAAATAAATCTAAATACGTTTTCCATAATGATGGATTTTTTGTGTGCACGATAGCCAGCTATCACAAGTCTTAGATGAACGGAATATAATTTGATTTTAAGATCAATCGAGCCTCTTATAGAAAGTTTAGAGCAATATTAGCTATACCTTTACGATCTATGAAAACATAAGTTGCTTGTAAAGTTCATGTCGCTATGTAACGCTCTTTGAGATGAGAACGTTTGGTTAGTATCATTTTCTATCCATATGTGTACGGAAATTTGTTTGCGGATAGCATCGTTTCCGCCTGAAAATCATCGAACAGACAAATTACTTACTCTATCTTCTAAAGTGTTAAGTTTTTAAATCATCAACAGCCATTCAGTTACCATCTCTTTTCTAATCAAAAGTGTCTCCTTTTTACAGAATATATTTCTTCAAAATCAAAATGTACAATCAGTTCACATGGTGTCGTATCTTGGAAAGTCTTTTCATTTTTATGAGTTCATCTCAAACAGACGGTGGGGTCAGAGGATTCCACGATGAAACACTTTTCCCAATAAGCTGATGATGAGGTGAATTTTGATGATGAGTCGATGTGTGACAGTTGCCATAGCCGCTGACATCCAAGCCTACAGAGCTTCCGTTAATGTCCCCGTGGTACGAGTCTTGGTAGCCGGTCTGATGGCAGTGCACAGCGGCAGGCGAGCCGCTCATGTCATGCCCAGCTACGGTCGAAATGGGGACCGAAATTGGCGCCATGACGGACTGACCAAGCGCGTGCGCTTCTGACGAGTTCGCGGTTGTGACCGCGGCGGACGGGAGACCGCTCGTTACCGGAGCCATTCCGTGCGCCGTTGATGCGAGGTTGTGCTGTGGGTGTGACGAGGTTGGGTGAGGGTTTCGGAACAAGCCGGTTGGGAGCGGTGACTGCGGGGAGCTGACGTGAGGGAACCCGGAGGTTGCTGCGGTGGAGGGCCACATGCTGCCGTATTGACTGCAGGCTGGCATTGAGCTAGCTGCTGATGTAGAGTTAGCGAGAGAAGACCAGCTGTCGGCAGCGAGGAGAGAGATACTGCTAGAGAGACCAGCCGAAGCTTCGGCCCCGTATCCTGCACCTAAATCAAAAAAGAAACAAAATAATTTGACTTTAACTGTAAGTACAACAAATCAATCTTCCCCAAATGTACCGATAATGCACCAACAAAAATATGAAAATTACACATCCTTGCTTGTTTATATTTTATGAATCAAAAACACAACATTAATAAAATCCAAATGCTCAACAATACAAGATATAGAAGGAAAACACGTATAGGGCCTAAATAAAGAATATTAGGGTAAGATGAAAGGGTTTTTTTTTTTAAAGATGGAAAACGAAGAAATTAATTTTGAAGAGATGTTCGTACAGCGCGAGGTGCTTGTCATTGACATTACTTTATGATAAAACTGGGAACATTGATGTTACAAGTCATGTTCGAGCGTAATTATTCAATAGCAGGGGTCACAATCTACTAAATTCATTACTAATACTGGGGGTGTTTCACAAAGATCCTAAATCGAACTTAACTCTTGAGACTTCAACATTTTGGAGAGCCATTTGCAGCCTTAAAATAAAATATATTCAAAAGCGAAAATTCAAGTATCTTAGACTCTTTATAAATTTCACGTCAAGAACATGAAATCTCCTTCATAATAGAAAATATGAATGATTCGAATCAACATTTTATGCCTTTTAAGATAACTTTTACAAAATATTTTCATCAATGCCAACGGCTTTCCATAATTGATTAGTCCAACTTAGAGATAAGTTCAAGTTAGGATCTTTGTGAAACACCCCCTGGACCCATTCTCACCGGCAATCACATCGTGAATTTGGCAATGTAAACAAGGCCAGTCTCAAGAATGCCAATGGATCAATTATTCCACATTTTACCGGGTTCATTTCATTCATAAAAATCGGGAAGTTCAAACAAAGTCTATCTGGCCTGCCACCCTCAAAATAAAAAATAAAAATAAAAGCCAACGGATACATTATGTGCTCCAGAGCGGAATTGGAAACATTATAACCCCTTCCAAACTATCTCATAAAACATCTTTTATTTCACCATGACTCATCTAAGGGCTTTACAGAAAGAAGGAATCCCATTTCTATTATTTTCTTTCTTCACTTCAAAGCGCCTTTTCCTTTGAAGTCCCGCCGCCCCCTTTGTTTGGTTGACAATGATTTTCGTTTTAATTGACCGGTGTAAAATCAACCTGAAAAGGTCCGTTGGATAATCGGGACATTGTGTTTGGGAACAGAACAGAATACAGGCAACCGACCGCCCAGTTTTATGCCTGTCTTTTACTACGCGTGGCGTGATAACCAGTTTATATTATAAGAGATCGACAAAGAAAGTCCAAACTATAAAAGCTGAGATAGGCCATGTGCTCCGCTATTGTTTACTAATTATTGGCGGTGAGATGCGAGATCAAAGGCTTTTTTTCCTTGACAAGATTTGCGTTGTTATTGTGGGATGCTATATGATTCCCCGCTCAACGAACTTAAACATTAATCAAGTAGTTAGGTTATGGGGTGAAAATCTAACTATTCAAAAATTCAACAACTACAAAGTAATATAGGCCTATACGAGAATGACAATTTTCGCCAAATATATATTTGTGCTGGTAAGAGCCAGACGACAAAATCATTTAAACAAACTAGTACTTTTTCTTCACAATTATAAAATTGACACCGACAAAACAAATCGATTCAGCTGTTGTTATCAAGTGATACTGCCAAACATTCAATTATTTTCAAGTTTTTATAAAGATGAATTTTGAAAAATTGAATTCAAAGGTGAGTTTCAAAGGAGTAAAAGGGTATGATTTTAATGTTTGTGCATGTTTTTGTAATACCGTAATACCCTTACTTTCTCATCAAGAAATAGTAAATAATCGGATGACATACACAAAATAATCACAAAACAAAGAGATTCAGACTTTGAGAAATGAGAGGGAGTGGTGCGATCATGACTGTCTCGAATTTGGGGGGATGGTCGAAAGGATATTTGGATCTAAACAATTATCGGTTTATCTAGAGTACAAAGTAAGCATTTTTAAAATGGTGTCGTCGAATACATTCAAATGTAAGTCAGAGTTCACTGGGGAATGTTTTCGTTTGATATTTTTTCTACCAAAATCCCACTGCTCGTTCCAATAAAAAATGTATTTCAATTCTGAAATCAAACCACTCATTTAATGTGTCAAAAGGCTAGCGCTTTTTATGACAGCTTGCGTTGACGTCACACCTTATTTACCAATACCCCCCATATACAGCATTGGTTTCCGACTGGAATTTATGGCGTTAATTTAACGATATCTCTTTATTGTTACACGGGCTTTAGTTTGGTTGCTAATAGGGTGGTCTGTGGACCGCAATCACTGTCCCATACGTCTGTATCTGTGTCATCATCAATTCTACAAAGCGTCGCCGTTTAATGTGCTCGTTCGAGTTATAGAAATCGGAAAGGGTCTCCCCAATAAGATTTCGTTTGATGTAGAGCGCCTTGCATTATTAATGCGGTTTGATTACCTTGTTATTAGCAGATTTAAGAATCGGAGGATACCCGATTCGTTTCTTTCCAAGGTCTATTTAAAAGCTTTAAAAAACATTTATTTTAAAAAGTTATTGTTTGGTGAAAATGATGCCTTATTATCGTTTTTTCTTGACTAGCATTGGGTGTGAATGTTTCATGATTGTCATTGTGTTTGTTAATAAATTATTTGAAAAAGGAATTCCCATTTGCGGGTACATTGTCAAAATCGTTGAAGATTAAAATCAATGCATGAAAACAACTGTATGTATCTATTGTATCATGTTGATATGAGTATGAATCATTTTCAATGTATTTCAAATGAATACGACAAAAATGTTGAAAACGATGTACGGATCAAGCTATCAATTGTAAATATTAGGTGAAAAGTAAAGAGAACGCATGAACATACTCAACAGTGTTTATGTATAAGAAATCAACAAACGATAAGGAAAAGTTCAGAAAGAGTGAGGTAGAGAGAGAGAGAGAGAGTGGGAGAGAGCGGGTGAAGGAAAAATGTGGTCCATAAATTACAGAAAATGAAAAATATCGGAATACATGAAATGATTAACAAACAATTTCCAATAATGAATTAAACATAATTATACAGAAGTAAAATTAAGAATCTCTCCCCTCCCCCATAAAAGAAAGATCGTTTTGGAACCTACCTGCGGCGGAGTACTTCTGGTGGTAGGGCGGGGGTGGGTATGGGGATGTCCTATGGCCCCTCAGCCCCCCGTACCTGTCGCATCCTGCATGGGACGGTAGCCCGATAGACGGGGCGAACTGATGGGGTGACGGCCCGAACGCTCCAGACCCGGGCAGAAACCAGCCACCAACTATGAGAAAATAAGCGAAATTTCGGTTGAAACTTTTGTTTTTACCCCCGAAATCTCATGAAATGAACATGGAATACTTGCATTCTCGATTGACATGATAAACTTAATAAACCCAGGAAATTTCATAGAATTCGAAAGACTTTCCTTTCCTAATCATTAGCGCCTTTTTATGATGATTCCTACCCTCCCCCTTTCCAATTTGATCTATTTCAATGTAATAATGTATAGCTTTTTATACTTTAACTGCAAAAGAGCAACGAAATTATAGATTGAGAGGAAAATTTGTACTGGGCACGCAGGATGAAGTACAACAAAACACCATTAACTCATGCAATGTTTGATCTGTAATACGGTGTAATATTATTGTAGAATGATTTTGTCTTGGAAATATGATTATTCATTCATTTATTCATCTGTCTATCTATACAGCTATCTATCTATCTATATCTATTAATAAATGAATTCATTTATTTATCCATTTATATATCTATATATTCAGGGTTGGTTGATTTCTAAAGGGTGTGCTTAATATCCCATCTATTTAGTGATTGTGAGAGAAAACCTCGAATACTTACATTGGGGATACTTTGAACCCTGGAAATCATGCACATCATCGAACAGATCATGTCCGTCGTTTCTACTTGAAAATAAAATAAAATGAACAGGAAATAAGAAAATTTATCGAAAATAATATCGCTAGTGACATTCGTTTGTCTCGCAATGTACGGTCAACAAGGGATCTAAAAGATCACGACGGTTCGTGTGCAGCTGCTACACTTCGTCAGGTGATAAAATATATCATCGCGATTCCCAAAACGATTTTAACGACGTTGACTTTCTTCTTACATGTAAATTGCTCTTGTAATTTAAAGACCGATTACTATTGTCAGACAATGTCATGTAGATAACATACAATGATAATAACAATATACACATTAAGAAATATATACAAATCTATTCAAGAACTTTGACATAACAATAGAACTAAACGTTTGTTTTATAGCTGTGTGAAAGACATTTATTAACATTTTTCCAATACTAGTCTTGAAACATACAAATATTTTCTAGGTAATGGGTAATATTGATCGGATAAGACTTTGAGAAAGAGAAGGGAAAACAGAACTTAATAAGAGTTTTGAAATGATATATTGATTATGAAATATGTTTATACTTACTTGTCTTTGATATCGAGGAAAGCTTTTGCAAAGGGGTTGTACTTGATCTTTAGCTGTGTTATCTGAGAAAGAACATAAAGATAAGAATACAATGTAATGGGTATATTCCAAGACTCGGAAAATGCACGGGTTAACATTAAACAGGGCCAAGGAGCAAGAGCGTATTCAAAATGGGATACATTTAACTTTTAAAATGATGGATGCAACATTAATAAATAGCAAAAAAATGAAAATGTTGTAATTCCAAGGCCTTTTTTATTTTTCATATTGAAGTCAGTATCAAAAGTATTATTTCATTTTGTACTGATTTCATTTTGAAATGTTTTCTATCGATCAAAAAGTTTCCAGAAGTCGCCTATACAGTATGAGCATAACATAAGCAAAGTGAAATTTCTCTTTTTCGTTTTATTTTTAGATGCATGTGTGATTCTTGCGTAATCCACTTAAATTTGTGTTCGGATTAGTTTACTTAACTCAGGTCATGAAATTGTTTCAAGACAGATTCTTAAAAGGGACAAATTAACATTCATCCAGAACTACAACAATCTACGACTCATCGCAAAGCCTCTATTTTTGGTCCATAAAGACATTCAACAGTCCGCTTAACTGCGCGACGCATTGTGCGATCGATTGATCCTATTGACGCGATTAAAGTTGCGCGGATCAACACCAGACTTCTAAACGCCTCGAAATAATCTCCCTTTTTTGTGAATAATCTCCCTTTTTTATGACCCATCGCCTATCCCTAAACGTAAGTTCAATCGGGGATCTCTATTTCTATTCATCTTATTTTCAAACACGAGTGCTTATAAAAAACAAACCAAGAAGAAGAAAGGGCGGTTTGTCCGATGTATACCACAAACTTCCAAAAAGACGATTGACGTTTTATTACCAGTGCGTTCATTTAGAGTGCGGAAGAAATATTTTATAGGGTCTGAATACAAATCGGAGCGGCAAAGAAGAAGATCAAAGAATTGATCACTTTATGAGAGGTGTAAAGAGATCTATTTTATCCTCTCCGATTCCTTTATAGGATATGTTTTGAAAAAGAGAGAGGCGACAATATTACATACAACCGCACAGAGAGGCCATCAGATGCGTGAATATAGGGTATTGGGTGAGTCGTAATAAAGATGTATCAGAAAATCATAACTGTGCGTGACTGGTTCATTCCGTGGTATATTGCACGTTTTGCCTAGAACCTGTACCTGGATTCTGTTACTTGTTAATAGAATTATAGAGTTAATATACATTTCTTTTTCAATTTTTTCGTTTTGTTAATGTCTATAATTTGTAGCGACGTTTACTTCCTAACAAATCATCAAATGCATTGGTAATGTAAATCACATGGCTGCTAGTTACCAGTTCATTTGTTATGTTTCATTTTTAAATTTCAGTTATTTTGTAAACAACGTTATTTTGTTAACGTCATAGCACAACGAAAACATGAACATGCACTATTCAGATCAAAACATCTATTCCCAACTTTAACATCTCAACTTTGTTTCGAGATTATGGCAAACTTGGTGGTCTAGCTGCTCAATAGGCCTCCACCAACTTGTTCAAAGCTTGTTTTGCGAGCATAGAAATCGGAGCAGACGGACCAATCAAATTCTATTACTTGCTGTGCAAACATTAATTAAGAGCCAATTTAAGGTGATGGGGATATGACCAAATAAACGACCGCGATTCATAACTATTACATCCGAGCTCAGTTTCAGGTTTGTTCAATCTGTAATATTGTCGTGAGAGAAAAAAAGTGTGACTTGAAACGTTCTATTTTTTATTTTTTATTTTTTAAGCCGTAGAATACGAATTTTGTGATGGAAAATATTATATTCATTTTTAACATTCTGTTTAAAAAATCATTATTTTTTCTTTCTTTTTGCTTTTGCGTTTTCTATATAAAACAGCAAAGAAAATCCAACACAGATAAACAAGAAATGTACTTTTTTTTAAGAAGTTGTAAGTAATAATCAACCTCATAAAGTTACAAAACGCTAGCTTCCATTCGATTGCAAAAACTTAAAAACGCTTATTTCCATTTCCTTTTTTGATGAATCGAGACACATAAAACAAACCCGAAGATTCCGCTAACAAGCTTAAGAAAATACTTGCTTATTTTGGTTTGTTACATTTGTTGTCAGTGTTTTGACAATTGCTAAGAAACAATGTGGATGTTTATTGAAGTACTTGTCTTGTGTTAGTTCTTTGATAAGGACAGTTTGCTATTGAGTGCCGATCATAAAATAGCTACTTGTTAAAAAAACAGGATGCATGGTTTCTTGTGTCAACCGCTACCAACTAATAGTGAACTTCTATATTTGCACTTGTTTGAAGACAAGTGAAAATGACTAATGTGACGGTTTTGGGGGAGGGGCACATCCCCCTTCGGAATTGACATCTTGTATTCTTAAGTACTGTACTCAAGAAAATGCCCTCCACTTAATTGTGGCTTTAGCCACCCCCTCCTCTCTCTCTCTCTCTCTCTCTCTCTCTCTCTCAAAAGAATAATCCCAAAAGCATCTCAGTGAAAAAAATTGACATCCTTTCTTTTCTCGTCAAGAGATTTTTCTGATTTTTACTCCCCCCCCCCCCCTGTCCCTCCCCGTCATATTCCTGAACCCAAGTGAATCATTTCCCATTTTCAATCAGACATCGCACGGTCAGATTTATACTCTGTTGGAATCAAAATAATGATATTATAAGAAGATTAAATTTGTGAATGACATTTGGGGTCTGGTCCACTTCAACCTATGTCGACTAATCAAATAGAGTAATATCTATATTCTGTTCATTAAAAAAAATGAAGCGTGAATTAAATGCATAGCAAAACTTCTTTTTCATTAGTAACAATTTCAAAAGAAATCAATGATTTTCGTAAATGCTTTTCCGGGTGGTTTTAGGGTATGATTAAGCTTTTAATTTTGTCTCTTTCTTTTGCATCCTGACTTTTTTAGGGATTCTGTTGATCTCATACAAAGTTTATCATTCTTTATTCTGTCATGCTTCAATACATTAGGGATTATTAGAAGAAAAAAAGTAACGATAGACACACAAATTTAAAACGTTAAATGGTTGTCATAATAATGATTGGGTCAAGGCGTTTTGATTCTTTTGATGTCTGTTTAATCTAGTTATCAATCATTATCGTGATTTTGCTATTCTGGTTGATAGACATTTTTGATCTTGCTGACTATTCCATGGTAGTTGTCGGGACAATAACGAATTCTTATAGCAAGATGTAAAACCCTTTTAAAAAATCAATGATATAAAAATGTTGTTAAAGGTACCACGAGAAAAATTCTTAATATTTTTGTCTTTCTTTTCTTTTCTTTCCTCTTTTGTTGTTGTAACCACCTCAGATTCAACTTCCGTTGTCTGTATGTTTTTTCTCTGAAATGTGCAATGTATGCATACTTCATTTATATGATTATGTAGGTAGATTTGAAAGCAACTGAATAACGAAACTGAATTTTGTCATATCTGCGCACCTCTAAAAGTGAGAAAGCAATGATTTCTTTTCATCATCATGAGGGGTAAAAAGGGGATAAGTTGACGGAGAAGTACAAATCAAACTCAAAGACGGTATAGTAATAACATTAACACCACCACCAACGACAACAACAACAAGAACAACAACGATACATATTAAACTTTAAGAGGGATGTAAACTCACATCTTCGTTCTGGTATGCTGTGACGGCGATGAAGCGGGTTTCTGTGAAGGAATAACTTCCAACCAATCTCTGTTTCTCCCTGCCTCCGACACGTATGATGTGGATACGTGGTTCGTATTTGTGAAGGGAGTTTAGCATCACCTGAGTAAAGTTAAGATGTGGTCGAAGAAATTAAAAATTATGATTAATCAGATGAAAATATTTAAATCATTTTTTTTCTTCGTGTTCGTTATAGCTAAAGGAGAGCCATGTATAACGTTAAATAGGGCCCTGGGAATTTACCTACTCTCTTAAAAAAAAGAGTAAATTTTCACTCTATTTTTCACTTTCTTGGGAGTGACGTCCGTGATCACATGTTAGGAGTGAAAATCGATTGATTTTAGAGTGCTCTCTAAGAAGAAAAGAGTGAATGTTCACTCTATTTTCAATACATTTTCACTCTCCAGAGGAGTGACGTCCGTGATCAATCGATTTTTTTTAGAGAGTACCAAGTATAATCTTAAAAATACAGGGTAAAAAATGCTCGATTAACTTGATGGTCATATTTGTTTAACCGGCGTTTGAAAAATGTTATGAGTAATGTGGATAATGTTTTGCCTTTCGTGATCATATTCTACTCAAGAATGATCAAACTATCACTCCTGATGGCTGGGCAGATAATTGACCAACAGATGGTCAGATACATGATTAATCGCAAGGAAGGCAATATTTAAAAACCCAAACATTATTTACATGCAGATGACTAATTTCCATGAATAATATCACACTTCTTGAAATCAATATTGTACATTTAGTGGAGTTATAACGTAATTTTGATATTTTAGTGCGTTGGTTTGAAATAGCCATTAAGTTTCATTGGGTAGTAATTAATCGGGACATTTATTTTAAAAAATCGAAATTAAAAAGTTGTTATTATTATTCGTCATAATTATTCACGACATTCCTTTAAAACAATATATTTGGAATAATCAAACTCATACGATTTATAAGCGTGAGCTTAGAAATAGAAAACACTTTAGCCCCGACTTTAGCGGTTTTTGAAATAGCTCTTTGAAATAGTTTTGAAATAATTATTGATACTATCTTTGATATTTCTGGGCCCTATCTTATCAATCGCAAGTTTGCAGTCCCTATCTCTTATGTACATAATTGCGATTGATAGATAGCAAATAGGTTACGATTTATCGTAATTGTTTATAAGACAGGGTCCTAATAATAATCAAATCGTAGTAAAGCAACAACATAATCTTACCTGCCCGCTTCCGTTGAGTTTATTCGACAACTTCACTTTGCTGAAGTTGACGGCCTGTTTCATCCAGTGCGCGCCGAAGTTGGGCGAGTCGGGATGGATGTAGGCGGTGGTCGGGGGCGAGCCGTCGGGCTTGCCGCCGGGGATCCACTCGCCGTTGACGTACTTCCAGCGGTGATCGTCTGCGGCGGAGAAGTCGAGCAGGACGGAGTACATGGAGTTGGGGTCGAGGCCGGCGATGCTGGCCGAGAGGACGGGGAACATTCGCCTGTTAAGGGTGGTAGTTAAGAGCAGAGAGATTAATGAGTATGATGATCGTAAAACTCTAACGGAAGAAGAGAATATGGAAATGAAATGATGATGAAGTTAAAAAAAATCCTTTTGACGGACTGTTACTTTTCTGAATTTAGGAAACTTTGACAAAGGGACATCATCATTATAAGATCTTCAGATGTCATAATTTCGAACATTATAGGCATAAGTTTTGCTTAAAATGAACAAATATCGCTTAGCAACTTAAAATGTTTGATAAAGTTTACCTATATTAAATGCTTCCATTTATCATCTGTAATGTTAAATATTCCTTCAAATAAATCACTCTTTTACATTAATTTTCAAAACATGTTCATTATTTCATTAAAAAGAAGAAATAATGCCATCAGTGACTTTATTTCTTAAAAAGCTATAAGGAAGAAATAATCATATGAAACAAAAAGCATAAATAATAACTTAAAACCTTTTATTCATTCATTCATTCATTCATAGCAAAAACGTTTCATTATATAAGTGTGTCAGAACAAGTTTAATGAAAAGACATCCACAATTGAAAGCAAACTAAATTCCCCGCAGATCGACCCTAAATTTAATTTGACAAAATCAAGATACTTCTTTTGGGAAAACGAAATACGGATAATCAATTTAACCTCGATTAAATTTGCCCTTATCCCGTCTTAAAAGTGTCAGTGATACAGATAATAAGACACATTTTTATTGATTTCGAAAGATCCCTTGAAAATCAATTCAGTTTTTATCCCCACTTGAAATTCTCGAGCAGAAAGTAAACCAACAGCTTTACGTTATTCATCTTCAGAAATGATATTCCTGGGCAGGTTTTCGATGTTGATTCAGTTGTTGCTCTTTTTTGACGGAGAATATTTGAAGAGAGAGTGGGACGTGTTCGTGCAAATCGTGTAGATGAGAGTTTTTCGGAGACTTTAATTGCATAAGGTAGCAAGTCGACATGAAGTGATTATGCACATCTACCTTGTGTCTACATTTCGTTTTGTCTTTCGCATTGAGGCGTTTGCTATACTGGAAAGCCCCACCCCATTTCTCCTTATCATTACCCCCTCTCGATTCCTTGTAACTAAGTAACTATTTGACTTGTGTTTATGAACTCAATATTTCTGGACTACAAGCATGTCAAGATGTGCCTTGGATGTAGCCCTTCTGTATCATCATCTGTTAATGCTCGACTATGTCTTTGTTCATGCTTTATTAATTTCCAATCCAATCGTATTACATTATCTAATGTCTATATAATACTCTTTTGTAAAAGCATTGTCAAACCGTGATATTGATAAAGATGATACAGTAACCTGAACATATTTCACCTATTTCAAATGTTGGCTATTATGACGTAAAAGTCGATATATTATTATGATGGACATCAATTTGAGAAACGAACAACGAGATATATTACTTTTTAAAATAATGTAATTCATTACCCCGTAATTCCTGCACATGATTCGTTTTTTTTAAACAAATGGGTGAAATAATTAATGGGATAAATGAAGCATTTTTTCTTCAAAGTCGACATGCAAAGAGATATTTTGTCACAATATCAAACCACTCTCTATTTTTTCAGAAACATAGGAGTAAATTGAGAAAATTTAAATCAAAACAAAATTACAATTTAGATGCCCCAAAATAAGAACTCCTCTCAAGGCGACACACATTTTAATTACTTATTTACATTTAAACAAAAAATGGATTTGGATTTACATCATTTACCGCCTTTTGGAACTCAACCCGGTGTAAGTTCACAGACAAAGTCCGATGATGGCAAGCGGTAATCGTGTACTCGGGTTAGCAAACATACATAGATACTCGATACAAGTGAACCATTTTTTTTTAAAGCTGTTCATTTCATGGCGGGGACTGATGGATAATATATCCGCCCGTGAATCAAATGCAATATCCATACATTTATACATCTTAAAAGTGCATTTGAAATCTAGGTATTCAAAGGGTTGATGCTCCTTTTGTTTATACTGTATATACAATTATATAATAGGCCTAATTATATGTATATACATTATAATAGGGCCTATATCTTGGAAGTAGTCTGACAAGTCATTAACGTGCATTTCTGCACGTTACATTACATATTTGAAGAAAGAACACAGTAGAGGGAGAAGGCATTATTTGTTCTCGTCTAATAAGAATTTTTTTTAGTGTATTTCGAAGACCGAACTGTGAAAAATGTCTATACGGGGGTAGTTTTATATATAGGTATATAAATTACAAAATCATCTGAATGTTAGCAACAGGACTATCATTAGGATTGTTAGGCCCATACTGCTATTATGTACCTTAAGTGGAAGCAAGCGCAAATGTGTAATCAAACTTGCTTATTTAAAATCTATATCATTTTCATGACAATCAAATAATAAGAACGAAGTGATGATTCTTAGAACAAAAAACAAAAAAAAAGAAAAGAAAAGAAAAGGAAATCCATAGTATATCTGATGAAGAAAGTTTCGCTACGCATTTAGAGTAAGATCTAAAGATTATCACATAAATACACCCTAAAATGTTACAAATGAAATGGAAAATATAAACATAGTTACAAGCGTCTGCGATTCAACAATGGTTATCTTAAATCGACTTGGCCGTTGCAAGGATTCGCATGGCGAAAATCTCAAAACTTGTAAAAGGACCAAAACATTGTAAAAATCGTTACTGAAAACTTTCAGTATAGTATGGTGGCAAAATTATTGGCAAAATGACAGTCATTTTTCTTTTCTAATTTGAAATTTGCAAGTGGCAGTGTTTGAAATATCACCCCATTCGTTGTGTACGAAATAAGGGCTTCAATTTATAGAGAGAAAAACAAAAGAGTAATGACTAACATTATTATCACACTGTAAGTTTAAGATCATATAATTGTCTAGTTCCAAGGGCGACAGGAGAGGAAAACTGCGTTTATTCTCTTTAAAAACTATAACACTGAAATAAGATAAATTAAAGTTTATGCATGATTATAAATCCATAATAGTTTAGTGTTAATAATCAAAGCAAAGTGCAATCACTACAATGATGGGACTGCATCTATATTTTGTTGTAATCTAGAGTATATACACAGATCCAAAAGATCAACCATATTTTCCAACTTTTAAAACTGTGAAAGTTCCAAACAAGTGTGGGGAGACGTTTTCCATAAAAATAGACATCAGGTAATGCCTTAAAAAGTTTCAAGTCGTTTTCTTTATAACTTCCCCAAGTTCGATGCCACTTCGTTATGACTTTACATAAACTTAATTAATAAAGAAATATACACTATCTTCAGTAGGCTTCTATGCAACATAATTATAAAAAAATTGATTACGAATAACATTATGAAAAAATACCAAATAGTGTTAAACAAAATATCAAAGCATCTCATCAAATGCACGTGAAATTTCACCTCTATCGTCCATCTATGCGCTAAAAACAAGACCATCTCCGCATAAAATTGTTCAACATCATCAAAGTGTTTGAATATTGTAGCAAGTCAACACCATTACCATACAGATTATCAAACTAATCAACATGTGGTTAAGAAAATTACTTCATTCATAGTAATCTACAATTTGAATTTGCATAGAACGACTCCCTTATTGTCTAGGTTGTAACATTTAAAAAGATTCAAAGTTATTGACAAGTCCATGAGATGTAATAAGAGCATTCATATAACATCAAATAACACCTAAAAATTAAATAACGTCTAAACGCATTTTGGGGTAATCGCATTGCTTCAAAAATATATATTCTTGTAATATCTAACTCTTTAAAAATGATAAAAAATCATAGTCATGATGGTAGCAATCTAACAAGTTAAAAAATGTAATAAATTAAAACTTCCTTACCTCCCGCTTTTTGTCACAATCATTTCATTGGTCAACTTGTGAAACTTTTTCCACAATTCCACGTCATCCAGTCTAACTTTGAGTCCTTTCTCGCTGGGGTCTCCCTTCTCGCTCCCGCGGTTCATCTCTGACTGTACGGCGTTGAGAAGATGCGAAACGTTGTAGGACGGGGCGCGGAGAGCGTCGGCGCTCATTGCAGGCATAGTGGCGTTGATGGGTTGAGAGTTTTCCGCGGGCGCTCGGACAGGCAGCAGTCGATTTCGCTTTTCGCTGGGATAAAGTTAATATAACAAAAATCTCCAGCAGCTAGAAGTTCTCCCGTGTTGTAAATTCAAAGTGACATCGAATCAGGATGTTCCGAAGTATGACAATGTCGTGTTACACGAAGAAAATAAAACTTGCAAACCGAAATGCAAGTGCCTGACGAAAGCAAAGTTTGAGAAAAAAATAAAGATTCACGAAATAGTTACTAAGTGATCCCGAGGGACTGTTAAACACCGTTTTATAAAACCTCCAGAACCATTTAAATGGACGATATACGGCGATCACTCGCAGACGATTGAATGTGTTCAGTTTTGAGGTACCGCCGACAATTTATACGAGCTGTGTCGAAGGGTCGCCGAGTCTGAATGGATTCATAAAATTCGATTGAGTGAACACGTCTTGAAAAGTGGTGTGAGTCACTGGTCTTATGCGGATCGGTCGCAATCTGGTCCTACTGAACTCTCTCTGGTGTCGATCGCCTGCTTGTAAAAGTTCTAAGTCAACTTAAGTCAAAAGATTGGTAGAACTACCAGATTAAACACCGGGTGGTGCTTTCGTCACTTTCTCCTTTTCTCTCCGGCGTAAGTCTCGTTTCACGTCGCAAGTGCGAATGTTTATTCGGCGATCACGAATGAAAAGGACTTTTGGTGGGCTTTTATTGACAAAACTTCGACCACCCTGGCTTTTCTCTTCTTCAGGATTCGCCGTGGAGGGTATCCATTAGAAGTGACAAAATAAGGCGTGGCTTTGGCGGCTTGATTGACATGATACCGGCTGTGCTGCATGTGGACGAGCTGCGAGATCAAAGGGAGCCGCCTTTGCCAATCAGAAGCGGTTTTGTATGTGCAATCTTGTCGAGTACGCGACGAGTGTGCCTACCTTTGCAGAGACCCACCGCGTGATTGGTCAACTGTTCAAAACATGAATATTCATGAGCCAACTTTTTTGACGTCGTAATAATATTCACTTGACCGATTTTGATGGGACAACTTAGTCATAGGGCTGTCTAATAAATGAAAACCAATCAAATTCTTCAATCGCTGCAGACTGGAATTGATAGGTCATTGCCGGTACGTCGTCAAGATAAATTGAAAGAATGTTTTGTCCTTTTCTAAACTTTCTTGGTTTGGGGTTAGGAGGATGAATCCCCTTCTACAAATCTTTATCGACCACCTTCAATAAAAATAACAGAAAGAAGAAAATAAACGAGTACCCTTTTTTCTTATTTCTAAGAGAGACATTTATAGCCAATCGTTCCTTTCAGAATATATCTAATATTATCACAATCCTTGTATTTTGTATGAACAGGGTTCGTTTGTATTTACTATTTTCTTTCCGGTCTATTCACGTTTTTTCAAAACTAGTATCCTCTTTCATGCGTTCTTGATATCTGTTACTTCCTATAAAGTTCATGCTGCTTCGATGATAATCTTCTTTTCAAATGAAACAACTCATGTCATTATTTCCATATTTCCCTCTATTCCTTTCTCCTTTTGTCTCTCTTTATAGCTAATACTGGACTTAGACTTTTCTGCCTTTATGGCAAACCTCCCAAACCTTCCGCAATACAAATTGGGAATCTGTTGTGTCCAAGTTTAGAATCAGGTGCATTATGTCTGCATTTATGCTGAAGTTTTTTCCCCTTCAGAATACATGTATCAGTGCGAACTTAGTTTGAAGGGCCCAAAATAGGATTCATTCCTCCAAAATAGGACTGGTTGCTGTCACTTTTGAGACGAGTATGTTTCAAGCATGAAAATATGAAAAAGACAAGGACAGGTCACAAATTATAATTCATTATTATTATTATAAGTTTATTCAATATCTTTAAAGCGCAGTACCCGGATGACTGTCAACCGGGAACTTCAACTAAACCTAAATTATTTTTCTTCTTTTATCATATATCATTTTGCTTTCTTTTTGTCATAACCCTTTTTTCTTTCTGAAGGAAATTTTGAAAAACTATCGTGGAAAAGAAAAGTAATAATTGGAAATTGATATGCAAGCTGGTCAAGGAAATTGTAAAAACTTTATGTGCGATTTGTTTAAAAATGTGAAACTATAATTTTGTGTGAATTATTTTTCTTCTGTAAATGTGTCACTTCATTTTCAAATATATTCAGACCTATGTGAAGATTATTTGTAATTTTGTATAAAATGTTATAAAATTATGTAAAATTTTCTTTATGAGAGAAGAGAATAAACACTTTTGAAAACAAATACAAAATACATTTTTACCGAGGTAAGTCAAATTTGGTTATTTCGCTAGTCAGCCTGATATAGATAATAATATTGTATGGCTCTGTTTTTGTGTGATACAAGAATATATTGCTCTCGCTATGACAATATTGGACTCATCTCCAACTTGTTCAATATTGTCATAGCACGAGCAATATATTCTTGTATCACACTCAAAGCCATCCAATATCATATTAATGTCACACAAAAATATTGTCACACAATAAACCATTTTCTCCCACTTAATCTAGATGGCATAAGCAAACATTTGAAGTGATATTTGTTTTCATATTATTTAATAATATTCATGTATTCTCATTCATTTCACATATCATTCAAACAGACGAGACATAAAAGAGAAGCAGAGTTGTCTTCATAAAATTATATATTTCATACGATTATAGGCATTTCATGCAATCTTATTCAAGAAGTAAACCATACTTTTCGACAAAGAAAAGAAAAATTGTCCAGACTTTACTCCTTTTTCTATATCCAAATAAAGTCCACAATTGAATCACTTCAACATGTATTTAGAACATAAGTTACATGCATGGACAGACCAATGATGATCACACCGCAAAGAATTACATGCAGTATGTTTCAGAGAGGTAAAGGGAAAGTACATATTTTATTAAAAGAAAGAAATCTAAAAAAATATTATTTGCTTTTTTATACTCTACCTTTAAGGGGGTGGAGGGGGAGCCTACAGACCATATGCACATTTTAAATGGCTGCATTTTAAAAATGTTCACACAAATGCCAAGATCCAAGAACGACTGAGCATTCCAGCCTCCCCCCTCCCCCCCCCCCCCCCCCCCACCTCCAAAAAAAAAACCAACCCCATTCGTTGCTGTTAGCCAGGAGAAAGGGTCAAGGTCAATAGCCAACTGCATTAAGAGTTAAAACTAAATAAAATAATAAATTAATATTTGTGGAGAGTTGAATAATAACTTAAAGAGAGAAACAAACACCAGATAAAATGCTCCCCTATTTTGTCTGCAGGCAGGGGCATTTTAGAAAGTTATCTGAAGAAAAAAGATGTACATAACTAAAATAACACAGGACACAAATGTTGACATTTTTCTACTGATGTACATTACTATAAAGGCTTCGAAGGCTTAAATGTACTAATTACCAGTGGCAATTCTAATTTGGCCCTCTTTCTTGATAACTCACACTGGCAAGACCCACAGGTGAAGGTGGATTTTTCGTCCAAATAAACACTGGGTTATAAACGTGTTATACAGCTAAATAGGAATCATAGCTTATAGTTTATACCCTATCGTCAGAATTCCAGATTATGCTACCGGCTTAAATTCAGTTGCAACTGAAAATTAATAATAATACCGTCTTTACTGTTTTGTGCAAGCATTTAATTCAACCTATTACTTAAGTTCCCATAAGGTTAATTACCAGGTTAAATACTTGCGCTTACCGGTATACATCAGCTAGTGGTAAATGTGGATATGGTAATCTAGCCGTTTATTAAAGACCGTCAATACTACTGGGCCAGAAGGGATTAGACCACACAGCGAGGTCACTGACAGGTGGCTATCTCATTAACTCAGCTCTCAACTAACGTAAGAAAAGGAGGATCATGGGGGACAAACAGGCACCGATTGGGGAAGTTTTCTATATAGAGGGAGCAAGTAGCTACAAGTAGGACAGTGGGGCTTTAAAGGTATCGTATTTGCCCTGTCAGACAAAATATAAAGGTTTTACTTCAATAGAAATTTATGCCAAGGATGACTGAAAAAAGGGCAAATGTCATTTCTTCTACACACCGAAACTCATAGCGGCAGTCAGGGGGATCTATAATTTATAAATTTGTGTTCTTCAAGCATGGCAGATCATTTGTTCCAAAAAAGGAAGAAAAATCCAGGGACATAAATAATGATATAATGCCTTTTTAACAAGGTGATCCAACATTTGCTTTGGCAACCTTAGCACCTAGGTTTGTAATTGGGTTTTAGGTTAGGTTTAGGGTAAGGTGTAGTGTTGGGTTAAGGGCTAAAGTTAGAGCATGATTGAACTAAGGTAGGAATTTGACTGAGGAACAACCATCGCTAGAGCAAAAATGATAAATATTCGTTAATACATGACCAGCCCTGAGAGAATTGTTAAAATACATTTGTGGCTTATACCCAGTAAATAAAGACTGATTGATCTGTAATTGAAAACAAGTCAGAAAAAATCTTGGAACCAGCAGGATTTGAACCTGCATCTACTGCTTGCCGGGCAGCAACTCTACCACCAGGCCATCACTGGTCCACAGCACAGTCACAGTGAACTAGAAACAAATACCTTAGCCCTGAGAGAAGTCACAGACTTCAAACAAAACAAAACATCCACAGAAAGTGACAGCACTTGAGCTTTGACCATATGAATACTAAGAATGAGATATTTGGGCTGTTCTGTTATCTATGGAAAATGTATGTTATACTAAAATTATTGGAGTTGTATTGAATGGCTTAATCTTCATTGGTAGCTGCTGAACCCTTCTTGGCCAGTGCCACGTCCTTTATCTTGTTCAGCAAATCCTGGAGTTGGGTCTTAATCCTACTCTCCTCGTTGGCGGCCTTCATCTTCTCCTCCTCGTCGCCAGAGGGGGCGCTGTTGATCTGGTCTCGCTCTCTGATGATCGCCATGTGCTTCTGGACCAGGTCCTGGTACTGGACGAGGAGGGCGTGTTGTTCTGGGGTGAGGTGCTTACTGAGGAATGTGATCAGCTGAGGTACACACCTGAGACAAAAGAGAAATGGTTTCATGCATGAATGTTTAGTTGAAAATCTATCTATGACATCCAATTACTTACTCTACTGATATACAATATAATGTCATTATTGTATTTATTACCAAATCTTGAGCATGAACATTCATTTAAAATCAAAGCAAAGAGCTAACAAATAACAACATGCTATTTGAGGTTAGAACAAGAATAAATCTTTCACTACTTCAAACTGAATGCAATCGCTGAATTTGTTAGTTGGTCTGTGGGCAAATTAATGAAAGAATATATTATCACTCTGCAACAGCTACTTCTGGTACTTCTGCTACTACTATTCCTACCACTTGCCTCCATCACCGCCACCACCACTACCACAACTTACCTTCCTCATCCTGGTGCATGAATCAAGCATTGGGTGTGATTTTGGAAGCCAGTAGTGAAAGTAAGATGAAGGGCCTACCACAACCACTACCACAACTACTTCCACTTCCTCTACCACAACTTACCTTCCTGGTGAATGTAGCATACACTGAGTATGGTTTTGGAAGGCAACAGTGACGGTAAGATGAAGGACCTACCAAAACCACTACCACAACTACTACCACTACCACTACCACTTCCACTTCCTCTACCACAACTTACCTTCCTGGTGAATGTAGCATACACTGAGTATGGTTTTGGAAGGCAACAGTGACGGTAAGGTGAAGGGACAAGGCGGAATCTGTCTCATTCCTAAGCTGCTCACACAAGGATTGCCGGATGTGGAATACAGTTTGCCTTCAAGAACAAGGTAGAAATCAGACATTTAAGTTTAGTGGTTAATTTCTTTGCAGTTTCTCATCTCTATGCACTTGAAGTACGGAATGCTGGATCAGGAGAGTGATGCCGCAATATAAAATGATTGTAAATATTTGAATGATAGCAAATGCATGTGCATACAACAAATGGTGTTTCTTTGTTTCCTAAAGGCATATTTTTGTTCAACAGCGTGTTAAACGAGATGTTTTCATCTTTAATAATTCAGGAGATATTTTCATTTCAAATTTACAGGTCACACATGTTTCGTACGTGTATGTCTGTTGGATCCTTCAAAAAGTATCTCAAAACATATCTATTACATTGTATTAATGGAGTTATATTTGTAGTTTGTTTCTAATTTTTCATATATTGTTGATCTGGGCCCTGTCTTATAAAGAGTTGCGATTCATCCAAATCAATCGTAAGTCCTGTAATCAATCGCAGGTTTGCAGTCTCCTATCCCTTATGTAGATAGTTGCGATTGATATCGATCGCAAATAAGTTGCGACTAATATCAAATCTTTGTAAGACGTGCTCCTGCTCTGTAAAGCGTTTTGATATGTTTTAAATTGGATGCAGCGCAATATAAGAAGAAATAATAATAATTTGTTAATTTACCTGTCTTTCTTCTTGTCTGCCTTCTTGAGCATGATGTCACAGATGGACGGGTCACATGACTGCTCCAGGTGCTCCACAAATTCATCCAGATCCTATAAATAACCAACAAAGAAAGACAAGACATTAATCCATGATTGCCACTCTCCACCCAGGTTCTTAATGGGTGCCCGGTAGGCTGTGAAAGTCATCTTAGTCTGCTCAGCATTGTGAGCATCTGTAAACTGGAACCTGGTAAGAATGCTCAGAATGCTCAGAATGTCTCAGCTAGAACATGTGGGAAAAGCCTGAATCTGATGACTGGGAAATTATATACCTGGGAAAGGGCCGAGAGATATCGCTGATGAATGAAGGGCTATACAAACTCAGATTATTATCATCATTATTAATACTATGATATAAACAAAAGTTAGACTATTTAGAAGCACATTGTATCTTTGGCAGAGGAGGAGAAACAGTATGTAAATATGTGCTTTATGTACATCATAAACTTCATAATATTAATTCCTCCTTTTATTTTCTAGTTTCTTTATCTTCCATTTTTTTTTCTGTAATCTGGACTTTCTGTAAATTATGTACCAAAGTTATTGTTTTTTTGTCCATTTTGTGAGGACAATTTTAACGAGGCATTTAAGTGCTTTTTATGATCCTCTCACTTCAGATATCTCATTATATATAATTGCATTTTGAAGACTATATCATATTGTCTTTGTCTTGATGTAAAAATAAATAAATTAAGAAAAAAAATGAATAGAAATTATGCGCTTTTTACATTTGAAGAAAATATATTCAGTCTCAATCTTTAAGTTTAAAGCTTCAAATAATAATTATCAGAGCATTCCTATATTACAATGTCATGTCTTACAAGTAAGATAATGTAAATACCTTGCCATTGAGGGAGCTATTCAGTTTTGACATGACTGCCTTGATCTTGTCTGGTAGCTTGCTGATGATATTTGATCGAATCTGGAAGAAGAATGCAAGATATTTTCAAACTTATTGTCGGATGATAATAAAGAAAAAGAAGGGAAAAAGTTGAGGAGATAAAGATAAAGAAAAAGAAAAGGAAAAGGTAAACAAGGTAACTTTTAAGATATTATAAGGTATTATTGTTACCATTTCTGTAAAGTCACATGGATTGGAAAAGAAGACCTTCAGGTTGCAGTTATTTAGTTAATCTATTTCTTTTCCAGGCATCCATGTGACTCTATCCCAAATGTACTCTTGTTTTCTATGCTTTTGCTGAATAAATAATAATAATCACAATAATAATAATAAAAGACAAATGCTTCAGGAAGAAGAAAGAGAAGAGAATAATATTAACAAAAACAAATTCTCTTTCTTTATCCTTCTTGCCCTCTATATTTTATTTATGTCCTTTTTAACATTTCTTTCCCCACTCTGCATATACTTCTTGATATAAATCCCATCTTTAAAGTTTGTATGCATAATGTAAAATGTTATATATTGCATGTTTGTTTCTTATAATTATGTATGTATTGTTAAAGATAAACTTGAGTTCTGGTAAAAAAAGAAAATGAATTCTCACAGAATCTAACGAAACTTACACTGAATGTTCAAGATTACAAATAAATGTCATGTGCCAAACAATTTTGGAAGAAAAGGTATACTGGCTGAGTAATGAGCATAGAAAGATAAGGAAATCAGGGTAGTACTAGCCCCGACACCATGTGTGTTGTCCCATATACATCTTTCTGTGTAAGGGATTGTTACTTTACCAAGAATCTGCCACATTTATGATGATTTTGATGACTCCAGAACCTTGCATTACACACCATTACTTACATGCTATATGATCAACTTTTCTGATCCATTCCACATCTTTTCTTTCACAATGCAATCGCATTACCAGAACTCAAGTTTATCTTTAACTATGGGGTCAATGTTCTATAAGGCCATTCGTTCTTTTTTGTTGACACAATTCTCATTATTTGTTTTTTTTCTAATCGCTCTGTTTTGTTTTCTATTGATGATGCTCTGTTGTATATATATTTTATGTATGTTGATTTTATTGAGAGTGAAAAATAAAGACAGACGGACTGACTGATCTCCATTCAATATATATGGTTTCCTCTACATGCAATATCAACCTACCTCTGGTGTGAATGTAAGAGGATCCGTGGTGATCGCCGGTTCGGCGACAGCGCAACACAGAATGCTGGTCAGATCAGAACAGAGCGAGCGGAGGAGATAGCGGGATAGCTGGCCCTCCAGGTCCTCGTCTAGAAGTAACAATAATGATAATAATAATTAAAGATAAACTTGAGTTCTGGTAAAATTAGAAAATGAATTCTCACAGATGCAAACAAAACTTACACTGAATGTTCTAGATTACAAATAAATGTCATTTGCCAAACAATTTTGGTAGAAGATGTATACTGGCTGAGTAATGAGCATAGAAAAATAAGGACATCAAGGTAAGTAGGCCCGACACCATTTGTGTAGTCCCTTATACATCTTTCTGTGTACAGTGCTTGTTACGTTACCAAGACAGGGCCAAATTTGATTTGATGACTCAACTTTTTCTGATCGATTCCACACCGTTTCTTTCACAATGCAATCGCATGACCAGAACTCAACTTTATCTTTAAAACGTTTTTGTATAGCACATAACACAACGGCAAAATTACATATCTCTATGTGCTTTACAGTACAGAATACAAAAAGGAGGGGAAACGTTGCACTGGGTTCATAATTGCGAAATCTTACAAAGTGCTAAATAGGTACATTTCAAAGTAAATTCTGAATTTTTCATATGTTTCTATGTTTCTAAAGCATATCGGCGAGCTATTCCCTAAAATGTTCGCTGCATATGAAAATGACCTTTCCCCGTAAGATTTTGTGTACAGGAAAGAGAGAGAAGGAAAGCTGAAAAAGATCAGCGAATAAATGCTGGATGTGGGGTACACCTATTTGAACTCACACTAATTCAAGAGGACACGGGTGGAAATTGAGAGAGAAAAAATTCTGACGTTGCCAATTTTATTTATTTATTATGTGAAATCAAGATCGCCACAATCCTATCAAAGACAAATTGTTCTTCAAGACAAATCTAAATGAACGATTGACACCAAGTTTTCTTGTTAGCAGTAATCATCCCCCTGTTTAAAAACTGCCATTAAAAAAAAGTCTTAACAACAATTGAAACTTCTCCCAAGAAGCCTAGCAATCAAAGAATCTGTCAGTTTTAAGACTTTTTTGAGTCTGGTTTGGCAATGAGACAGCAGTATGACTATTCAAGTTACATCGAGGGTTCAGTGACACAAAGACGTAACTCCATATTTTGCCGAAATGAGTATTTGATATCAAAAAGTTCAGGAAACACAGACTTAACTCAATCCAACACCCCATTGAAGTCAATGGCTAGTGAAACATAGACTTCACTCCTTGGCCCAAGTGCTCAGTGATACATGAACTAATTTTTCTCAAAATGGCCAAAACGAAGTTACGTCTTTGTGTCACTGACCCATACCTGCCAACATTTTAAAATTAGAATTAGGAATTAGGTATGCCTTTGAAAATAAGAAATCTGTACCCTTAACCCTATTTTAACTGGGCTATTTCAGACCAGGTTTTTACTGGGGGGGGGGGGGGGTCAATTTGACCCCCCCCCCCTAAGATCTCGGCCGTTTCACCGCCGATCGCCGCGAAAATTTGCATGCATGTCAAGTGAAGTGTATAAAATACTATGGTAATTTCAATTTTTTGAAAAATTCACTCATTTGCATATTTATGATAAATTATGCAAATAAGGTCATCAAATTCACATTTCTGCCCATAAACCATAGATTATTCATGTTTACGTATTCTTTTTACTACATATATTTATTAGACCATTTGGAATAATAATACAACACAAAAAATTGGAAAAGCCAGGTTATTCCTTATGTTATCTCTTGTTTTTATAATTTCTTATGTATTTCATTGTTTTTTTAACTTATGTATTTTATTGTTTTGTTGTTTTATTTCATTTATAACTACAATTCAACTATTTTGACCCCAAAACAAACATCTAAACTTTAAACAAGACTGAATAACCAATGTTTTATCTATTTTTAGGAAAAATGACTTTTACATTCGCTTTGTACACAAATCACGAAAATGAGCGATTTTCGGGCTGACATGCTAAGACAAAAGGTCACGTGACCTTGTAACCGTAGGTCCGATTTTCAAAAAAATTGTTTTAAAAGATGCGTAAGACTCGAAAGTAAAAAGTCGTGAAAGGAAAATTTTATATCTGCCGCGGTTTCGGAGTAGTCGCGAAATTTCTACAGGGGGGGGTCAAATTGACCCCCCCCCAGTTAACATAGGGTTAACAGGCGTTCGCACATGCAGCGGCAGTGTAACTGGCTATACGCGGTAAATCTGAACAAAAAGCGAATTTGCTGCTCAATCATGCGGTACGTGAACATGGGAAAACAGGCTTAATTTTGCTTAAGCAACCATTAAAAAAAAAAAATCTTGATTTGGGGGTCCTAAAAATCCAGAAAAAATAGAATATTCCAGATTTTTCGTAAGGGTAGGTAGGTATGCTGACCCCTCGATATATACCTTCTGAGCATTGCTTGACCCCCTTGATGAACTGTCTGATGTTATTCCACAGGGCATTGATCCGAGCCTGGAGCTCCTCCCGGGTCTTTCTCCTGGCCGCTGCGCTTCCTCCAGCCATCATCTGGAATGTAATCTTCACAACCTCCTGGTAGTTCTGGGTCAGAGGCCTGTAAGGGTCACAACAGAATAAAAGAGATCATAGTGAGCAGTGATACCGAATGGAATTATTCAGTTGGCCTTACAACCTATATGCATGTAATTTTGGTGAGACCCCTCCACAAAAAATTTCATTGTTTTTCTTTCATTCTAGTTGATAAACAGCAAAATACTGAGAATTCTACACCTAAACCCACTATAATCTATAATCCACATGGTCTCATAATCATTTTGTTTACTTATCATTTGGTCTAAAGACCATTTAGGCTACGATTCATTTGGACTAATCTCTAATAAGTCTACTTTTTATTTGGTCTATTGCTCATTCAGTGTAATAACCAGTTAGCCTAATTTCCAGTTTGTCTAATGCCCATTTCGTCTACTGGTATCCATATAATATTCATTTAATCATAAATAATTATAATCACCAAATGATTATTACACCTGATGGATAGTCGACGAAATGGGCATTACACAAAACTGGAAATTAGACTAACTGGTTATGACACTAATTTACTGAGTTTACTACAAACATGCATATCTCCACAAGCGTGCATTTACCTGAAGAGCTCCTCCGCAAGTTCCGCATGCAACTCCTCCGGACATTCATCCAGTTTCTCACTCAACGTCTCTTCCATCTTCTCTAGCGTCATGAAAGGGAACTCGGAAGCTGATATTCTGGACGCTAGTAGCAAGATAAAACAAACAGACTCGCACAATAAATATGCATGAAACATTGGATAGAATACCAATGCTTACCAATGCTGAATAATTTCTGCAAAAGTGGACTTATAATACGTATTTTAGTTTTGTATTTGTTTATATCTCTCTTTATTTTTAATTTGTTGTAAATTGAACATTTTCAGCCTGCGAGCAGCTTGTTTGATGTGTTTTTGCAATAAATCAAACCAATTCCAATCAATTCAATTATAATTATAATTATAATCACTCAACGTCTCTTCCATCTTCTCTAGCGTCATGAAAGGGAACTCGGAAGCTGATATCCTGGACGCTAGTAGCAAGATAAAACAAACAGACTCGCACAATAAATATGCATGAAACATTGGATAGAATACCAATGCTTACCAATGCTGAATAATTTCTGCAAAAGTGGACTTATAATACGTATTTTAGTTTTGTATTTGTTTATATCTCTCTTTATTTTTAATTTGTTGTAAATTGAACATTTTCAGCCTGCGAGCAGCTTGTTTGATGCGTTTTTGAAATAAATCAAACCAATTCCAATCAATTCAATAATCAGAATAAAACTTTGTGGCGAGAGTTCGTAATGAATTTGTCAGGAGGACCAGAAATGCATGTACATAAGCAAACATATTGCAGGCTACAGGGTCATTGTCTATGCTTGAAATACAGTGGCTGTCCTATTAGTCTACATGTTGCCCGGGACAATCTTCATACCAGCTAAACTTATATTGCAAAATTAACAATCTCTCAGGGTTAAATTAGAAGCATGGTGTGTTTTATGTGATTTTTTGTAAATGTTGGAGAAAAAAGAGAGAAAAAAGAAGAATGGACTCTAGGGTTCATAGTATTAGTTTGAATACCAAATAAATCAATAGAAATGGTTATGAATCTTGAGAACTGAAAAGGTTTTTATCTTATTTTGTTCTTACATTTCTGTGCGTCTTCATCCTCGTCTTCTTCTACTTCTTTAGCTCTTCCTTTCTTGACCTTCCTTGTTTTGACCTCCCTCGCCTGTCCTCCTATTCCGCCCTTGGCTCCACCACTCCCGCCAACACCTGGGGGCCAGGGAGAGAAAGAGAAAGAGAGAGAGAGAGAGAGAGAGGAGAGAGAGGGGAGAGAGAGAGAGAGGGGGTGAGAGAGAGAGAGAGAGAGAGAGAGAGAGAGAGAGGGGGAATGAGAGGAAATGAGAGAGGGGAAAGAAGATTTGGTTGAATATTTTTTTAAAGAATGCTCAAAGCTCAAAATGGATGCTTTTTGAAATATTATTATGGTAACTTGGCCAAAGCCGAGGTAATTATATGATTGCATGGCCCTCAGGGAAAACAATTTTAATACTGATGAGGCTTCCCTGGGTAAAAAAAAAAATATTATTATTATTTTTACTTTTGTTATTATTGTTGCTGTTGTAGTTGATGTTGTTGTCATCATCATCATACTGATGAGGCTACCTTGGGTAAAAAAAAGACATATTATTATTATTATTATTATTACTATCATCATTATTATTTCTAGCATTATTATAATTAACATTGTTACTATCATTATTATTATTATTAATATTGCTATCATTATAAGCTTTCACTGTTTAATATTATTTTTATCATTACTATTATTTTTGTTATCTATATATCTTGCCCATGCATCATTATGCCCCCTTCTTCTTTGTTCTCACCTGATGCCTTTTTTCTCCTCTCTTCTTTGCGATCTTTCTTTACATCGGATCCCCCAGAAGGTTTCTTGTCAGCGTGCAGCAACATGTCCGGTGCTCTTTTGGCATCCTGCACAAGAAAACCAAACATGCAAACAGACTTTGTATTTTTTTTCTCCTCCTTCTACCACTTTAAAAAATATATCGTTAGATGATAAGGTGTGGCAGTCTCTCAAGCATTAAGCTTATATTGTCATAACTCTGTATGCTTGTGTATTATTTACAATTTCAAATGTATAATGATCGTAATCTAGTGTTTACTACATTTATGGTCATGATCGTACTATGTAAACCAAGTTATTGCGTATTAAGTTGCCCCGGCTGCACCATCTCCCAGGTTACTATAAACTCTTTAACTCACTTACACTGTGCAACCCAAAACACCCAAGGACCATGAATATTGTTTTGACATTGGTTGTATAAAATACATGTATAATGTGATTTCTTTTGTTTTGTTATAAAAATACAATCATACAATTATCGCCAAAACATTCAGAAACACTTCTTATATGTGTTATCTACAGACCTCCAAATTCGTCGTCAAGTTACTTTGATTTATTGAACGGAATGTTAAGTCAAGCTGTCACCAATACAGATGTGGAAATGATATTACTTGGAGACTTAAATTGTGATATGTGTCCAAATAACATAGACTCTCTATCACGATCTCTCGAAGAGATGATGTCTGGTTTTCTTTTCGATCAACTGATTGATGTTCCAACACGAGTGACGACAACGTCGCAAACTATTATTGATCTTATATATTCCACTGACGTAGAAAATCACTCCTTGAATGGAGTGCTAAAAACATCATTTAGTGATCATTATATGATTTTCACTGTTTACGGTGATGCTGATATTACTCAAAAAGAAAATATCATAGAATGGAGAGATTTTAAGGGTTTTGAGTTTGCAGAATTCAATTTTTTACTTTCCCAAGTGCATTTTGAAGAATTATATCAGTGTAAGGATGTTAACTGTGCATGGGATATATGGTACAACCCGATAATGGAAATTGTAAATATGTGTGCACCATACAAAAGAAAACGTCTAAGAAATAATCCATGTCCTTGGGTGACAGGTGACGTCATTAAATTGATGAACACGAGGGACTACCTTCGTGATAAAGCAATACAGCTCTCGTCATCAGATTTTTGGGAACAATATAAAAAATGCAGAAATCTTATCACACGCGAACTCAAAAATCTTAAAAAATCATACATTACTTCATTATTGAACGACAAATCAGGAAACGCAAATGCGTTATGGGATGTTATGCGACGTCTTACTAAGAAAAGTCAGTCTAAAAATATAATATTGAATGTAAACGATGTTGAAATATCAGACTTGAAGGAGGTTGTCGAATATTTTAATACGTATTTTGTTGACTCCGTTTCTGAACTCACTAAAGGTTTTGAGCTCGAGACCGAAACAATTAAGAGATGTGAATCACTTGAAGAAAATCTGGAAAAACAAACAAACGGTGATTTACTTTACTTTTCAAATATCTCGATAGATTTCGTCATCAAACAGATAAAATCATATACTTGCAAAAAAGCAACTGGGTATGATGAACTCTCTGTTAAAATACTGAAATATATCTGTGATATTCCTCATGTAATGGAAAGTTTAGTATATATACTCAATTTGTCTTTGCATTCTTCAGTATACCCTGATGCTTGGAAGATAGCCCGAGTCCAACCAATTCCCAAAGGAGGGGATACAGCCATAATGAAAAACTACAGACCCGTGTCTATATTGCTGATTTTATCTAAAATAATTGAAAGGGCAGTTTATTTAAATATCTTTGAATATCTGTCTCAGCATAATCTATTTTATAAGAACCAATTTGGATTTCGTCCTAAGCACTCATGTGAAACAGCCCTATTGTGCATGGTTAACCAGTGGTCAGTCAATGTAGACAAAGGGTATTTAAATGGTGTAGCTTTTATAGATCTCCGACGTGCATTCAATACAGTCAATCACTCTCTCCTCTTAAATAGATTACATCAATATGGTTGCTCTCCGCATGTAATTAAATGGTTTGAATCATACTTGAAAAATCGCCAACAATTTGTCTCATTAGGGAAAGAAAAATCAACATTTAGAAATATAACAATGGGAGTTCCACAAGGGTCCATCCTGGCCCCGCTCCTTTTTACTCTATTCGTTAATGACCTCCCATGTTCCATCTCAAATGGCATTGTTTATATGTATGCGGATGATACTACTATTTCTGTATGTGGAAAAACTAAGCAAGAGGTAGAACTCAAACTGACAAAAGCTCTTGGTGAACTGAATTCTTGGCTGAATAAAAATAAGTTGATTTTGAATAGTGATAAAACCAAAACGATGCTGCTAGGATCAAAGCAAAAGCTTAGATCATTAGATAACAGTATGCTGTCGATTGAATTAAATAGATGCCAATTGGAATGTGTATATACATATAAATGTTTGGGAGTTATAATTGATAACAGTCTTGACTTTAAAAAACATATCGAAAGTATTGCTTTAACTGTGAAACAGAAATTAGGAACTATTCGTCGATGTACTCCTGGTACTCCTATTCTAGTCGGTGAGGAAGCTGTATCTCCCAACAACAAGGCTAGAAATCTTGGAGTAGTCTTCGACAGAACTATGAGCATGAAGGATCACATTTCGCGTGTCTGTCAGTCTGCATTCTACCATCTCCGCAGGATTGCAGAGATCAGACACTGTCTCACCAGAAGTGCCGCGGAAAACCTCATTCATGCTCTAATAACCTCAAGGCTGGATTTCTGCAACTCTCTCCTTGTCGGCTTACCATCATCAGCCATCAAACGTCTCCAGGCGGTCCAGAATGCTGCTGCTCGCCTTCTGATGGGAATCAGGAAGTTTGACCACATCTCGCCTACACTCCATGAGCTTCATTGGCTGCCAGTGCACTGCAGAGTGCAGTATAAGATCTTGCTGCTTGCATTTAAGGCTCTACATAACTTGTCCCCTGGCTATGTATCTGCTCTCATCAGTGTACGTCAGCTACGACCAGGACTACGCTGTGCGGGACTCGTTCTTCAAGTGCCCAGTACCCGTCTAAAAACATACGGGGATAGAGCCTTCTCTTCATCTGCTCCGCATTTTTGGAACTCTCTACCTGTCCAACTTCGAAATTGTAACAACATTGATACCTTTAAATCTGAACTCAAAACCTATCTTTTCCGGCAACATTGCGAATAATATGTGACATATTGAGGGAGCCAGGCGCCTTTGAATGCTTTTGCAGATAAATGGCGCTATACAAATGCTGTTCATCATCATGATGTAAACATTATTTTGATAAAGCACAATTGAACAAACTGTACTGGGCTTTTGTAGTGCCCCATTTAATGTACTGTTGTACCGTTTGGTCTGGGAGATCTGAAGCAAACCATAGTAAACTGGAAAGATTACATAAGAGGGCAGCATATATGATATCTCGTTTTTCCTGGGAAACCCCATCTGAACAAGTGTTTGAAATTCTATCCTGGCCGAAAGTAGATCATCTGTTTTTTAGAGCATCTTGTTGCATGATTCATAAATGCTTACATAAAGCTGCACCTGAAGTACTAGGTGATAAGTTTATTTATATTGAAGCGATATCATCTCGAACAACAAGGAGCACAAATAAGATGCTAATTAGGATGCCACATGTTCGTACGACCTTTTATCAGAAGTCATTTCTTGTCACAGGTCCATCAAACTGGAATAAATTACCCGAACGTATTCGATTTATAAAAAATATGAAACCATTTAAACAAGAATTGGCAAAATGGCAAAAGACATCCACATTTTAATATGATTATGGTATGATATAACTCTTCTTTTTCTCCTCTTTTTATATATTTTATCATATCTTCTTCTTCTTGTTTTCTCTTGTTGGTTTGTTATTGTGGTTGTATGTTGCTGTTGTTTTTTTGTTTTTTGTTTTTTGTTTTTTGTTGTTTTTGTTTTAATAACTTTTTACTGTTTGCTTCAATAGGATATATGGCATTTACATATTTGTATCATATACATTTCACTAATTTCGTTATTCTCTATGTTCAAATCCTTTTATATAACCTGGTTTGCAATTTTAGTTTGTTAAAATCGTATTTTGTAACTTTCTATATTTATTTATATTTTTATATTTGTATCATATACATTTTAATCATTTCGTTATTCTTTATAATCAAATCCTTATTTATAACCTGGTTTGCAATTTTTTGTTTGTTAAAATCGAATTTTGTAATTTTCTATATTTATTTATATTTTGATATGTTGATGAAATGTATATACTTGTTTGTGTCATGAAGGGCCTCAACGAAAACCAGTATTTGTTTGCTGATTAAGCTACCCTTCTTTTTAAAGATGTGTTATAAATAAATTAAAAAAACAAAAACAAATTGCCCTTTGGGGGAAAGATACAGAAAAAGACACCTAAATATATATTTGAGTTTTCTTTACCTCTTTTGCTTTGACTTTCATGATGGGATCGAAGATCGCCTTGCAGTTGGCCATGAACTTGTGACTGCAGATGATTGTATCGCAGAAGACCTTGCCTTGGAGCTGATGGTTCCCTTTAAGGCAGTGATGCAGGATCTGACCACAGTCTGAGGATGTGAAGGAACTGGGAAGGAGGGGCTGGAGCAGAGAAGGAAATGTAAAGGGGCAAATATAGCAGCCAAAGGGTGACATTGGATAAGCCATGGAAGTGCTTACAGACCTTTTACCCAACATGTCTATTGATTTTTTTTTTTGGGGGGGGGGCAGAGGGATAAATATATCTCTACATTGATTTAAAAAAAGGATCTATTAAAGTGACTCTGTAACATTGTTGAAGGTTTTAAAAAAAATTGTGTAATTTTTGTTTGAAATGTTAATTATTATATTCCTTTTACTGTACTAACCCTCTTACATGAAAAAAATCCTGAAAAAATCTCAAACCACAAATATATTTATGGTTTTCTTTGAAAGCTATTCATAAGGACCATTATTTATAAGGACCGCTATCCATAACGCGTGACAAAATAAATAGCAATCCTTTATGAATAGCAGCCCTTATAAATAACGAGCAGACCCCAATAAAGGAACCAAAAAGAAATAGAAAAATCAGAACTCTAAAAAACAAAGGAGAGAATATAGAAAATGACAGATTAAAGACGTTACCCACCAAAACATCGATCCATGTGCCGGAGGACAGTGCTTCCTCCACGCTAGCCTCTACCCTGTCCTGTAGAACCTTGCCGATGCAGCAGGACTCCAGGACCAGGAGCTTCTCAGACTTGAAGCGACGCTTGGCAAAGGACTTTGGGTCAGGGATGCCCAGTCTTGACAAGGCATCATATTCTACGGAATGAGAGGGGGTGGGGGGGGGGGGAAGAGAAAGAAAAAAAGTAGGATATTATAAATAATATGATATTATGTAACACTTTCAAAGAGTCGTTGCCTAAGGTCTGGAGAACCAGTAAATCCTTGAACTTAAAAGAAAAATTTGCAAAGTACTTAGGGCCTGGGATACCTGATCTAAAGTAATCAAAATCAATTAACCATGTCTAAAAGTAAGACTACCCCTGGCTAATAATGCAAATTTGTGAACTCGCAGATGTTCATATATACTACACAAGTGGGAAATTCATTTGTGGCCAGGTGTAAATTATTTCTCACCTTTCAATTGTTATTATTCTGTTTTCAATGCAAGTAGTTTGAAAATTAAATTCCAACTGCATTTGAAAGATAATACTAATTTAGAACTTCCCTAAAAAAAGTGGGGCTTGAAAATGTCTTTAAGTGGGAAAATAATGACTATTAGTTGTCAAATTGACTTTAGGGCTATAGAGCCCAAAAGTAATAGTCTTGATTTTCAGACAATTGTACCGAATGGTCATACATTTTATGCTGCGCAAAGATTCAATCAGTTTAATCTTGGCCATCACAAGAAGTGGGTAATTGATGTAGACAAATGCTCATGTACCCTTTACAACTCTTTTCATGTATGTTATTACCAAAGAAAAAAAAAGCCAGTCAGTCACTCAATAGTGTCTGACAGTGAAGTCTAGCAAGTAAACAGGTTTCCTTGCATATTTGAATATAAGGACACTGCTAACGTTTAAATTTCACAGATAGGACACACATGACATATTCATAATTCCTGCAAAGTTCTACAGAATTTGAGATTGGCTGCAAAAGGGACATAGTACCTTTAAGGAAGTTGATACAGTTGAATGAATGGAAAAACAACTTCATAAGCACTTACCTAGATAACCATTTTGTGCATAGAAGGAGTCGATCCAAGCATTCTGCGTCTTGGTAAAGATATCAGGAACGTAGGAAGCCTTCTCCTGTCGGCCACCCACGAGGGAGCCATTCAAACGTTTATCCTTTTCTAGACCATCTAGGATACCTGTTGTCGGGATGAATCATTACAACATGGCAATGTTAAAAACTTTAAAGGCATCGTTTAACAATGTTAAATCTGAGATGCACGGCCCTACGCGTTATCAGTGTCTGTGATATGGTGTACTATTGAAGCCCTAAAAAATTTTGCTTCAAAATGATCAAGAAGTGCCTCAAAAAAGTAAAAATCTTTGAGTGACCGGTTGCACCATACTCATTCCCCCAATAGACTGTAGCGTTATGAAAACTGTTAGGAAAACGCAAAATTTGACTTTGATTTCCAATCATAAATATCTTGATAATCAGACAGGCGATCGGCTTGTAAAAGTCATGGGGTTGCTGACTGATCTAAAGGTTTATAATTATCATTGCAGCATGAGCTAAATCCAGGATTTTGTTCAGAATCTGAGACAAAGTTACCCGATCCCTTTAAGTAAAATGGAGTTAGAGTAAAACGGTATAAAAGTGATTCAGAATCATTGATGATACCAGGGAATAAACCTCATATAATATGGAGTTGTTGGACCACGATATTTATAACAAAATCTTGCTGATAATGACATAATAATTATATAAATGTAAGAGTAATCCGTGTTGTCGTAGCGTACAATTAAACACTGTGCCACATGGAAGAATAGTTTTTGCAATAGAGTTTGTGCCTTCCTTGGACTAAGCACTATTTTATCCTTTCCAATTCTGCTGTTAGATTTCATGTCAAAAATACCAAAGACTGGATTAAGAGATACATTGGAAGTAATGTAATATTTTATAAAGTCACCAATCACTCTAAAAAACAAGAAAAGAAATCTGAAAGTTATTTAATGATTGCTGGATTTGTGTTCATGATTTGCTCTGTAAAAAAAAAGTTGAATATCTTTTCTATTACTGGTGTTTGAGATAAAAGTAAAAGATATACCGGTAAGTATTGAACTTACTATGAAATAACCTCTCTGGAATGTGATACTGGTTTAGTATGTTGGCAACTGGAGTAGGCCTAGAAGAAACACAAACAATTCAAACGAAAGTTATAAATACCGGTATGCTTTAATAAGATCAGAAAACAGGGCATAAAAATTTACAGCCGGCATGTCATATCAGGACATACCAACAATAGGCCTTGGTCATTTTCATAAGGGCAATGGGCCCTGGTTCTTTATCATGATTTCATAAGAACAATGCTCAAACTCTATTTTACAATACAATATTTTGTTACACAACCTTTTGATATACTCCTATCAGACAAGAATATTTCGTCTGGCATCTCCCTGGGATAAACAAATTTGTAAAAGGAATAAGTAGCAGCTAACCTATCAATTGCATCGATGAAACCTCATATCCTATTTCTGTGTCTATCAACAAAGGCTTGGGTTAAGATCACACCTCTATCATAAACATCCATCACCAATTAATTACTTATTGTTTAGCTATATGGTTTCTGCATAGCCAAATAATAAGTTTTGCTTGTCTGAGGGTGCAGGTTTACGTAATTGTACAAGGGATGAGTTCTTAGAAGCTTACTTTGTAATTGCACTGAAGATCCCTCGTATCCTAGCTCTGTGTCTGTCGACGAAGGCTTGAGTAAAGATCACACCTCTATCATACGCATCCATCTGGCCCTCGATGATACGGCCCATCCTCCGCTCAATAGCCTGTATGGCAAAGAATACAATGCAAGGAAATATGAGACTTGCATTTCCTTTAATTGCAGAAAACACTAAAATATGATGTCCTTTCAAAATGATGCTCAAGGCACTCTAAGAACTAAGGGTTGGAACTTTAGATCTGAGCCCCAATATCATTAAACCTGTACAACAGGAATTTACAGCAAATGCTTTCACAAGAAATATTCTATTATAACCAAAGTCCAAACTTGAACCCTGGATCAAACATTCTACATAACCCTAACCCTAAACCCAACCTGAAATCTCATTTCAACCAAAACTCTGGCCCTATATCTGACAACTGCCTGCAAATATTTGACACACACAGCTTTATTTTTATACCATTTAAACAGAGAGAGAACGGTGAATAATGATTATTATTATTTATAAATAAATGATTATTAATCCATATGATATGGACATGGGCAAAATGGGCATTAGACAATCTGAGGAATTAGTCTGACTGGAATTTAGACTAAAAGAGCAGTAGACCAAATCGGTAGTAGACTTATTGGAAATTAGACCAAATGACTATTAGCCTAAATGGTCATTAGACCGAATAATAAGTAGACTAAATGATTATTAGCCCAAGTGGATAATAGACAGGCCGGGTGTAGACAGGGATGCCAACCTTTCAGAGCACAAATCCGTAATCATAAGGCTAAAAATCCGTAATTTGGAGACAAAATCCGTAATTTTCTGCGCGACGCAAATTTTTCTGCACGCTGGCAAGCGCAGCTCCCGCAGGCAAGCGCGATAGCACAAGTTAAATAAAAGTAACATACCTGTTCATTAGTTGGTGTTACACGATGCATTTCCATTTCTTACTGTATTCTTCTTTAAAAGTCTGTAACTTCTTGCCACGCTTCTTAGTTGTGGAAGACATGATGATTGATATCTAAATCCAACCAACATGAGTTCAGATTGTCGACGAAAATCGACGAACGCTGTGACAGCCTGTGAGAAATCCGACAGTGTACACGGCGCTAGCGTAGCGAGGCCTGGCGCTGGGCGGGCGTTAGCGGCGCGGCCAAGAGAGGTATTTCACCCGGCCCCCGCTCGCGAAGCACATGTTGTATGCACATGTATGCACTGAAAGGGGTGTGCTAGATAACAAATTGTCCGATCGGAAGCCCTGTGGGATTTCTATGCATGGATTCAAGGATGGCTGCGCTGCAATAGTCAAAAGTACGTGCTAAACCTTAAACGTGCTAAACCTTAAAGTGCTAATTTTGAAAATCGGCAAAATCGGCAAAATCCGGAATTTATGGTATGAAAATCGTACCGCCCGTAATCGGCCGATTTCCCGTAGAAATTACGGGAAATCCGTACTAGTTGGCATCTCTGTGTAGACCATTTTGGGTAGCATACAAACTGATTGTAGACCAAACAGCATAGACCAAACAGCAATAAACCAAAGAGACTAACCTCGGTCAAGAAATCAGCAGGGACGTCATTGGCCTTGGTGAGCTCTGCGATGGACACCTGACCGGCTTCCTGGAGCTGATCGTTGATCTCTTCGGCCAGGTGGTCAAGGTAGTCACTGAGAGGGATGACAAGGGAATGTAAATACCAGAGGAGTGTTCCACAAAGACTAAGATCGACTCTAAGTTGGACTTAGCTATGGCAGGCCATTCATGCCACTGGTTGGTATCACCATTGGTTTCTCAATTATGATCTTGAGATAAATAATGAACTACAGTATAAAAAAATGTAAATTCTGCAGATTTGTGACTTGGGGGTGTTTCATAAAGCTGTTCGTAAAGTTACGTATGACTTTACGAGCGACTTGTATATGAAGTGCCAGATAGGATGCCCAAAGTTTTTTCTGACATTTTTAATAACCTCAATTAAATTATGGCAAAAAATATACTTTGCAATAAAAATGTTTGTTATCATAAGAATGTTAATCTGCACAGTTCAATTTTATTTGATGTATTTAATAATGTTTGAGCATCCCATTTGGCTTTTCATATACAAGTCGTTCGTAAAGTCATGCGTAACTTTACAAACTCTTTATGAAACACCCCCCAGGATTTATACATTCCTTAAATAACCAATGCCAGGAATGGTTAGAGGAACTAGTGGCATGAATGGCCTGCCATAGTTAAGTCCAACTTAAAGTTAATGTTAGTCTTTGCGAAACATTACTCAGCAATGGTTAACCCGTAGCAGTTCAGAGTTTTCTTGTTTTCTAAATTAATCAGTCTTTCCTCCTCAAATTGGCAACAATTCATCTTATTTTCCACTCCTTCATAAAAATAATGCATAAATAAATGAAACAATGTGGATGAAAATGACAAAAATCATCAGGAAATTTCAAATTTGTACATGAAAATAGCGATTATACACTTCACTCTGTGCTGAAATTGAGAGACTTCAATGATATTTTCAGAAAACAATATCAAATATCATTATTTAGGGTTCATAACACTGGTTTGAACTTTGAAGGTAGAAAAATAGGAATCATTTCTCCACCATAATGATGACTTAAGTCATATGACGAAAAATATAGGACAACACCGGAGTGTTGGCTCAGTCAGTAGAGCGTCCGCCTCACAACCGGGAGGTCGTGGGTTCGAACCCCGGCCGCGTCATACCAAAAGACGTTAAAAGATGGGAGTTGTTGCTACCTTGTTTGGCGTTCAACAATAAGGGATAGAGCAACCTCGATCTGGCGCTGCTCAGTAGCTGCCGGGCTCACGATCAATTGGGCAAAAAGAATTTCCGTTTTGGTTTAATAAAATTTGGAGTTGACTAGGCTATTACTATTATTATTATTCTTATTATTATTAATGCCCGGAACCCAACTAAATATTTACCATAACAACAAATGAATACCTGGAAAATAAATGTCTTACTTGTCTATGAGTTGTCCAAGCACCAAGAACACGTTGCGATCATTCTTGACCACCTCATTCGCCTTGGCTTCAATGTAGCTGAAGTCGATGTTCAGTATCTGCATAAATATAGAAAAAATTAAGTGTTATCTAACTGAGTATTACAGTCAATCCTGCTTTAGCAAACACCTGTATACAAATACCACCTGTCTTTAAATACCACATTTTTTGTTTCCTGGAATATGATTTCTCATTGAATTCTGTACATTTTAAAGGACAACCTGCCCATAAAGACCACTTTTTAGGTTCCCTTGAGTGGTCTTTTGTATACAGGTTTCACTGTGCTATATGTACAGTATCCAACAACAGTCAGTACCGGTACACCCTTTTGAATAAATGTTAAACATCCCAACGTAAATTGCACTATACCCTTTCCATGGAATGAATATACTGTACATCTAAATGTAAGCGTCACCTTGGACAGTGCCAGGTGTACGGGTGGAAAAAAATAAAATAAACAAATGGCGGCGGAGTATTCGAGTACAAGAAATCGTACTCGAGTAGTTGTCAACAGTGCGAGTATTCGACTACTCGTCACAGCCTTAATTCCAACTCGGCTTCAAGGCTTGCGTGTTTGAAAAAAACTTTGTACCTGGTAGTGATTCTTGACCACTTTCTTTAGCTTTTGATTTGATGTAGCTGAAGTCAATGTTCAATATTTCCATAAACAAAAATGTAAGATCTAATTTTGACTTCCAAAATTGCTCTGTATATCTATCTTCTTCTTCATTCTTTTACGTAAGTTCGATCACGTTTTCAAATACACAACATGATTTTATACCAATCTGAGAAAGCTGTTTTTCCAGAAAATAAACATTCAAGCAAATGTTTGTATTTTGGGTAAAGTATAAAATAGACTGATAGTCTGATACTGCATAAGGCTCAGTACAAAAATAAAATGTTATTTATCAAGAACAAATGATGTTGGATTTGTTCCTAAGCATTTTTGTTTATAATTTCTAAACCTATTTACAGAGAGAATGGAATGCATACTTTCACACTTTGACTTTTCAATATATTCTTTGGGGATTACGTGACATAACCAAGCTAATTGCAAAGAGAAAGATAAATGGACAGATAGAACCTCACCTGTTGAAGCTCTACAAGATTGATTCTGCCTAAAATTGTAAGAAAAGGAAAAAAAGAAAGTTATCCAAACTTGATTTCACATATCTACCGGTATTCTCAAGTCAATATATTGTGACCAGTTAAAGTAATGTTGTGCTCATAGTCTAAGCATAGCATTCTCTAAATGGTATATTTACTTAAAGTATAAAGGAAATCAAGTATTCAGTTTAACTTCATCCACAAGTATACACATATACCAATGTCAATTTCCTCTTTTTAACACAGGTTCTTGCATAAATTAGCAACTGGATATTATTTTCATATAACCAACTTGCATCATCCTTGTTTAAATACATTTTAAAGATATATTTAAGACATGATTTTATATTCAGCAGTTTGCTGATGGCATATCTTATGACCAACAAATCTTATTGGCAAATTAGGTCACGATTACACAATGGGAGACAACGCCTGTTTGTCAGATTCAAACATGTAAACAGTAAATTAGAGAACTGCTTTCTTTATGAGTGCAGTATCAGCAACACTTTTCATGGTGACAAACCGAATTGTAAGTAAATTATTCAGGATTACACCATGTAATTCTTCAAGGAATTGCTATTCTTTTAGAGAAACCATTGCTATTCTTTCAAAGAAACCACTACTATTCTTTCAAACTGTTTTCAGACCGTCAGACGAAAGTGAAAGTAGTTACCTCCATGAATGATGAGCTCATCTCGAATCTCTTTCACCACCTGCGATGGAGTCAGATATTCCTTGCCATCGAGGGTGTAGATGACTTCTATCTTCTTGCTCTCGATCAGTTTGTTGACAATCTCGATGCAGTTCCTCTCGGACAACCTAAAATAAGTTGAGATGAATAGATTGTATCTCTTGTTTAGGAGTGACCTAATATACTTTGTACCAGGGTAGCTGGCAATCTTATGACTCTGAAACTTTGACACAAGTTTGAGAACATGTGCTAGTATTAATCACACATAGGAGCATCACTTTCCTGGCTGTGTAGTAAAAGCTGTGCTTTTGATTCTCAACATTTCAAACCTCAACTGATTTCACTCAAAATTGGTACTTTAGTGACAATTGGTGACACCAAAAGAGCAGTAAAATACATTTTTTTCAACTTACTGATGTTGAAAAGAATAATTTAAAAATTCAAATTGTAAGTCTAGTGTCAAATTTGCCGATCAGCCCAATCGGTCCTATTGTGTGCAGTCTACGCAATATTGTGTGGTGTGTATATTTAGGTAAGTTACAATGTGTGTGCTTTTGCCACAAAGGTTTCTGCCATGGGGCTGTTATGCACTATTTGGAGACCATTTGGATAGCCTACGCAAATGTGATCTTTTGATGGGCAGATTAGATTTTTGTTTCATGATTTCTATTTGATGAGAAGAATGACATTGTTATCTTTCACTTCATACTAAACTTTCTATGATTTATGTTTTCGGCAGTTTGTTTTGCTGCACTGTTTCACAAGAGCCGTGTTTAGTGCCATTCTGTACCCTGATCCCGCTTTCAGGATGAGAAAAAAGGTATCTACATCTAGGATGATTGGTTAACATGTCAATTTGCTTTTGGTGAAATTTCAGCAAAATCTATGGATGAGAAATATGTTTTTTTTGGAGGAGGAATGTGAAAATGTCATGCAAAAATGTCATGCAAAAATGACAGCCCGATCAGTTGTTTTCGCGTATTTTGGGGCGATTTTCTGTAATGAAATAAAATCTTTCAACCACATGTGAGATCACAACTTTTGTTTTAAAAACAAAGGAAAACAAAGCAATTAAATAAAGGATTTCCGGGCATTTGAAATTGGCATACTTTCTTATTACTGTAGCTATTAGGATGAATGAGGCGTCAAATAAAAGGTCTTATCAAGCTCTGTTCGATGGCATAAAGCAAGAGCTTGAATTCTGAGATTTAATTTTTGTGTAACATCCCTAGTATATTTGTGTATAGGTCTAATAATACCTGCCTCACAGCAAGTATGCAGATATAGAGGTCAATACGCATTAGCATTGACTCTTTATGCTTTGCTGGAGTGGTATTAATTAAATTATTTGGAGTATTGTTTGTAGGAAATAACGATGGTGCAGTAGATCAGAGTGTAAGGTTTTATAACAAATAACCTAGCACTTGTGTGAGAATCAGTTTGCGTGCTTCCTTCTCTTCCCATATTCTTGTTCTTTTTTTTATTAACAAAAAATTCCTTGACTGTGTTCCCCTTTTCCATCTGATCTGGAGGTGCTGATTTTTGTTATTCCCTTAAAAAATATTATAAAATAAAAAAGGCTGTTCTTCTGAACTGTTCTTCGTGTGTTCTTGTTTCCCTTTTTCTGAATTTTTAAAATCCTTCTTGACTTTCTTCTGTTAACATAGCTTTGTAATTATTGTGTGCATTTCTTGGTCACAGCGCTAGTGAAAGAGCTAGAAGTGAAAGAGCCACAACGAAATTGGTTCACAATCATTTCAATCACAAACACAGAAGAGGTCCCAATATTTCTCTAAATGAATCCCCTCACCCCCAACCCTTTCTCTCCTCTCTCTCTCTCTCTCTCTCTCTCTCTCTCTCTCTCTCTCTCTCTCTCTCTCTCTCTCCCCTCCCCTCTCTATTTCTATATTCGATTCTTCTGTCCCATCCATTTTTCTCTTCCCTTTTTTATGTTTTTGTTTCAATCTCGTAATATTGTCAATAAAAATCCTTTGATAGCAACACAAAAGTCAGCATATGGGACTAAAATTTAACCAAACGTTACAGCATATGGTGTAACACAGCCCCGATTTCTCCCAAAATAATCAACATATGACATCAATCCAGAAATTAACTACTTTTGTTTGAAAGAAAGATTCCTAATACTCACTTTTGACTCGCACTGGTCAGCTGAGCTCGCTGAAAATCTTTGGCGAGTCGCTTTACCTCTTCCCATTCTGCGCTAGCCATTTTTTCCCGTGTGTTGTGGCAAAAATTAATAAGCCATCACTCAGCGGATCGAGAGGGCGGCAGAGCTACTCATTGAAAAAAACAAAATGGCACAGCAGCAGACAGAAAATGTGGCTTGTAAAAGTGGAAAGAAAACAGAAACATTCAGCTTTGGACCATGGGCAATAACCAGTACGAAAGCACACATCTCTAAGACAGACGTGGTATCCAAGTGAGTAGTCTTAGATTAATATATATTTTGGTGAATTGATAAACATGAATGACCAATGTCGGGACTGAAGCAGTGAAGCCTGCGACTGAAGTGAAGGACTCGTTCAACATGCATGTCATTGCATTGAATGTACACACAACTTTAATCCAATGACAACACACAGGCAGTTAATGGCGATACATAACATAGCCTTAGTTGAGGGCTAGCCTAGGTGATAATATTAAATGTGACATTCACATCACCTAGTCTAGCCTTTCACCCGTTTTTCTGCATTAAGAAATTAAGAGTGAAACGAAACCTGAATTCTGAAAATAAAATGTAATTGTATCGTATTCGTAACTGCACCATACGATTATGAACGTGAACCTTGCCACTGTTAAGTGTTATTAGTCGGGGGGCTGGTCCGAGAATGAGGATCGTCCGCCTAAACGAGGATATCCTTGTAAACGCAGACAAACTGCGTCCTAAAAAATAAGGATGGTCCACTTTTTTCATCGGCGCTCGCGCTGTGTGGGTTTCGGACTCCCGAATAGCGCGCTGGCAATGCAAAAAAAGGATTACGCATAATAAAATGATCTCAGTTCACCGTAAAAAGTCAATGTAAAATAGATCTACATCAAGAAAATCGTAGCGGATCCGTTTTTTGCATCAACAACACACAAATTGGAAATAGTCTATGAAACGTCTGCGAAAATGCAGAGGATCCTTATTTTTGCGGACGCGTCTGTGTGCGTTTATTAGTGCTGTAGTCGAACGTTTAACCGTCCGGTATCCGACCGCCCATGATGGATTCCGTTTTCAATTGGACGGTTTCGTTTTCCCAATTTTTTTTTTTTTTTTTTTTTTTTTTTAAAGTTTCGATTTATGCCCCTCCACATGGCACTATGCCTGGCAATGTCTCCCAGCTCAGTAATCTGTGTGTTGACTCACCACTCCGAGACTAGAACAACACTCCAATTTGTCTGTCATCTTGGTTTTGAAAGTAATCTTTGTAATAGATCTCAATATGTAGTTTATAATAATAATTTTTCCAACTTTTACACACGGCGTACCACAAGGATCTATCCTAGATCCTCTACTGTTTTTAATTTACATTAATGATCAGTCAACAACAACAACAAAAACAAAAAATGATGCTGAATTCATGATAATAGCATATATCATGTAAATATACCAATGAGTTTTGTGTCCCTGGGTGCATACACCTGTGCGCCCATTTTTACACTAATCGCTATTGTTTTAAAGTACCGTAAGTATCACGGTAGCAATACGAAAAACAGGCATTTTCTTGTAAACTGCATGTATTTACGTTTGTGGCAGAACCAACATGGCTGAGATGACTTTCGCCACCCCATTCAATTTATCTGCATGCAAATTTTGGTGATCTGAAATTAATCTGGTATTGTCTGACTAGCACTTGACTCCTTCGTCCCTCCGTTACTTTTGCAGGCATGAAGAAGAGTTAGGGCTCCCTCAGCTGCCAGAGATGACGTTTGGGGACAACGTCCTTCGCATCCAGCACTCCTGCGGGTTCGGGCTAGATTTCAACACCATAGATGCTCTCAGAACGGTAGACAACAAGCATGATACGATGAAAGTAGCGGCTGCTGATACATGGAGAGAGGCAAGGTAAAATATTCACCTGGGCTGCATCTCACAAAACCGTCATAAGTACAAGTTCAGCGACATCCCATTAAAATGCGTGTATTAAGTTTAACACGCGTTTCAATGGGATGTCACTGAACTTGTACTTATGACGGTTTTGTGAGACGCAGCCCAAATGTTCCTGAGGCCAAGTCAGGCAAACAAAATAATATGAGTGGGGGGGGGGGGATTTTATCTCTCTCTCAAAATGTTGTCAATTGATATGTCGCGAACGATTGGGGATAGCTTTGTCTCATTGAAAATTAATTACATAGGTTATCAAGTCATATAATGGAATGAATGGCCCTTTCCTTATGAGAGGCAAAGATTGTCGACTGAAGTTTCTGGCAAAGGATTGCAGTGATAGCCAACATGTACTTATAATTCCTAGACAGAAAATTATAATTAATTTAGTTTTTCTCGTTGTTTTATTCTGAGATAGATCTTTCTTATTTTGGGTGGGGTTAGCAAGAATTTTTACCACTCTAAATTTGATTTAGGCTACTAAACTGTAAAGAAAGGTAACATTAATGATGGCTATATTTAAATTTTAAAGTAGCTCCAGAGATTTAGATTTTACTTTTCTCAAAAGCCCATTCTATACTGTATGTGTGAGGTTGTGATTCCCTTAACGTGAATTTGCTACAGATGTAACAATTTACTGCAAATTGTCTCTGAACAATTTAACTTTTTGGATAAGCATGTATGAGCTAAACATGCAAGGGAGTCTTCTGTGCTCAATGAATGCATAAATTCTTTTCAAACCCTTTCCTAATTCAACATCTCATCGATTGATTATCCTTTCTCAGGAGCGATTGTGAGTTTATCTCGAAGGTAATTAAGCCATTCGATTGGACATACACAACCAGCTACAAGGGTACCATCGTAGACTCAAATGGAAGTCATAAGGTGAGCTAAGAAAAAGTATTGACCGGTCAATGTTTCTGCTATGTAGTACAGACTTGTCTACTTGAATTTAGGAATAGTTTCCAGTGTTTCAAAATGATGCCTGTAGTGTTGACAAGATGTAGGCCTGGAATGTAGAGGGTTCTGTTAGTGTCGTTGATCTCGAATATTCGAATCGGAAATGAAATATTAAAATTTGAAATAATATGCATGTTAGTTGGATAGTGGAGCATGATCACAAATCCCAAGTCAGGGCTCAGAATTTCTTCGGGCAACAAAGTCCTACCTCTGTTTGTTACCAGTTTCACAACTGATAAATCCAAGTTATTTTGTGGTCTGTGTGCAGTTTTGTGCAGTGCATTGCTTAACCTGTTGCCTACCGGAACCGGGCGGTCCCTGTCTTAAACCTATGGAAATTAGATAATGCAGTAGTCCGTGAGTTAGCAACCAAAATTTGACTTGGTGTCCATATTGTCCAAGTGGTAACCCATTAAAAGGTTAACCCATTTGCTTTGGGAACTGGATGGCCCCTGTCTTAAACCTATGGGAATGAAAGAATTCAGTCCTAAATGGGTTATACCATGCGTTACGATGCATACATTTTATTTCTAAGAGATTTTGAATAAATGAATTTGTATTTGAGTAAGCTAAAACCCTGCAAAAGTATGATGGAAAGCTGTATGTATTGCACATATTAATGACTTTTGAAAGCGATGGGGGGGGGGGGGGGGGAATCTAGTAGACATATGAATCATTCTTACACTTTTCAAGTATATTTTATAATTCTTCTTCACTTTACTATTGCATAGATCACAGAGACGGATGAACGGATAGATATTGAAAAGCTGAAAGTTCGAGAAAAGATCTTTTTCTTTGAGGACATGCCCCTCTTCGAAGATGAATTGGCAGACAACGGTTGTGCTATACTCACTGTGAAAATGGTAAGGGAGATAGATGACTTGGCTCTCACAGCTAAATGCAGTCCTGATAAGCCTGTCTGAAATTCAAGATAACCAAGATTTCTGAGATAAATAGTCTCCATTGACACCTTTTCTCTGGCAAAATACCTGACTTTAGGAGAAGTTTAGCATGACCTAAAACATCCCTAATGAATGGGATTAACAGAATTAACCATACGCTATCGTTAATACCCCCGAATGCGCGGATGTGCGCCTCTTGGATGTAATTTAAGCAACTAACAGAACTTACTTACATGTATTGTTTTGATTTCTATTTTATTTCAGAGAGTAATGCAAACCAGTTTCTTTCTCCTGATGAGGTTCTTCTTAAGAGTCGATGGAGTTCTCGTCCGCATCAACGATACAAGGTGCTACCATGAGGTATGCTTTGCTGTAGTTGTGTGATAGTCATTTGAAGGGTATTGAATTAAATTGAAATAATTGATTTTCAAAAAAAATTGTTTTAAAAGATGTGCTAGACTGGAAAGAAAAAAGTCAGCAAGTGGCAGGGCATCATCCGTATGGGTTCCCGAACAATCAGAAAAATCGCATAATGCCCCTCCCCCCCCCCCCTCGACCTCATTAGGGTTAATATCGTCTCTCAAATTTAATTGTTTTAGTTGAAATGGACTACCTAATCTGTTTTCTAATTGTAAATTATCATATTGAACTAACCTTGTTTCTTTGTCTCTATCTCTTTTGTATATATATATATATATATATATATATTTATATATATATATATATATATATATCTCTCTCTCCCTCCCTCTCCCCCTCTGTTTATATTGTTGGTATTGTTTCTTGAACCTCTTTCTTTTGTTCTGTTCCAAGGAGTTTGTTGTAACAATGCTCCAATCATATTTTTGTTGTCATATCTTGTGTTGTTTCCATATTGTTTCTAGATCTGTTCTTATTTGAAAACCTCTCCATGTGTTCATCTCCAGTTACCTCTCCTTCTCCTCTCATTCTTTTGCAGGCTGGTACGAATTACATCCTGCGCGAATACAGCAGCAAGGAGAAATCAATTTCGGCACTCGGACTCGAACCTCACGAACTGCAGGACCCTATAAAACTCAACGAAATGTTGGACACTGTCACACAGACGTATGAAAAGCTCGAGTTCCAAGCCAGTGCGGAAACTTGATGGTAGACCCTCGTTCACCTCTACCATGAACTTGGACACCTTCGCATGGGATGCGACACGTTCTTTCACTGAAATCCTTGTGTTCATTGATATAAAGTGGTGTATGCGGAGGGTCCAGCTAAAAGAAATGCTTGAACTACGAAAGAGCAGACGGATCTTAAGACTTGGGGTGATTCTCCTCTGAACATCAAGCTCAAGGATTTTGATAAGTCAAGTGATTACCAGTGCATCCGTGCAGTCAGAAGCCATAGTCAGTATTGTCCTTGATTGACTATTACAAGACAGAGAAGTTGGAGATTGTTTTTTGTTGGAATAGGCCTTTTTTCGCTATGTAATAACAATTTGTTAAGTGCCTCGTTACAAATTATTTCATTCACCTGTGACGAATAATTGTATTTCAATAGTCTGAATGCAGTATTGCATACATTCTGTGTTGTTAGGTAGGGCAAGCCCTAATGTTTGTCCTACCTAGCAACAATCAATGCATGCAATGTAACAGGGGAATGAAATAATTTTTAATGAGGTACTTAACAAAGATTTATGCATTGAATTTGATTACATTCAGAAGTGGCCTATCGTCTTTGATTTAATATCACGTGACCAAGAGGTTGGACAGGGTATTTTGGAATTGCGATTGAATGAAATAGAACCATTTAGATTTGCACAAGAGCTTTCACTATGGAATCAAGGGGAGGAGCGTCTTTGTCAAGAACATGGTATAGACCTGGGGGGTGTTTCACAAAACTTGTCATCAGTGACAAATGACAGTTGTTGTTATAAGCTACTGAAATCCTTGCTTCTGATTGGTTATCAACAGATTTGTCACTGATATTAGTCATTTGTCATTGCAAAAAGGCCTTGTGAAACGGGTCCCAGCTTGTAGGTAGCACGTGGTACAAATGACTCAAATGTTTTAATACAGAGTTTTGGGAAATTTTGAAAATTGGCTGGATAGTGATTCTTTACAATTTTGATATGTTTGGACGCCCCTGAGGATGTATTATAAGCACTAGAACATTTAGCCACATTCTGCTTTCGAGAAAAATTGAATATAAAAATTTACTGGTGCTCCCGGTAAATATTGATAAATTTCAAATAGCGCCTACAATAGTAGCTGTGACCATGAAATCTCAGAATATTATATACTTGTGATATATAATTTTCAAACGGGATTAGCCAGTCGGTCGATTTTAGTCAAGAAACATTGTTTCCTAGCTTAATTAATATCTTGACCTTAAGAGGGAGCTATACAAAATAAAAAGTTTATTATTTACAATTTCATGATTTTAAACTCGATTTCAACCGCGACAACGGTCACTGAATATAATTACTGGTCAAGTCATAAAGGTACTTCATGCATACCTTTGGTTCTCCCGCTTGAAAAGATTGCTTCCACCTGTGTATTGTAGAATGAACCATTGGTGCGTAAGCGACCAAAGGATTACGTAAGTTTTTTACAATTTAGTCCAAATCACCTTTATCTACGAATTGGCTTAATGGTCAAATCATTTTCATTTCTGTTGCATCTGTTATGCCATGAGCCAAACACATATTTTTGCTCCATCTATCATTTGTACTAAAAGAGAACTCATCTGTAACGTCAATACAATTTTGGAATAAGATCTGTATCCAAAATGCTGAAACAGGATGAATTCACGGTCCTAGGACATCTCTAATGACATCACAAACATGCATCATCACAATAGGCCATTTTTTGTTATGTAACCAAATTTATGCATACTGGTATTGAAGGCATTCTGTAGCACCTCTATACAAATTATATCATTCGCCTGTTATAAATAGTCAGAATTCAAATTGCATACATTAGTTGTTGCCAGGTAGGACAAACATTATGATTTGCCCGACCTAACAACATGTAATATATGCAATTTACATTCAGACCATTGAATTACAATTATTTGACACATGAATGAAAGTCACCAAAGTATCAAGTTGGTTACATTTCGAAAATATTCTTTTTAGTTTGAAGCTCCAAATTATATTTGAAATATGAAGTCAATCATTTTCATGGGACATTACTAAGATATCCTTAGGACTAATAAGGACAGCAAAATATATATAAGGAGAATGATTAAAGATAAAGACCAGTTATGGTCATGCGATTGCATTGTGAAAAAAACGTTGTGGAATCGACCAGAAAAGGTTGTTCATCTAGCATAGATGTACTGTAAGGTTCTTGAATCATCAAAATGATAAGAAATTTGGCCCAGTCTTCATAAAGTTACAAGCACTGTACACAAAAAGATGTATATGGGACTACGCACACGTGCGTGACATGTGCGTTTTTATCTCTCACATCCCAAAAGATAAACTAATTTACCAAATATATCAATTAGTGGGCGGTTTCCCGGCAAAATTGTTATTGTCATGTATTATTCAAAACATATCCTTTCACATGATTGGTAATAAGAGCTTCCATTTCATTTTTTTAAATTGGGGCGTTTCCAATACTGGTCTTTACCTTTAAGTTAGTTTTCTCCATTGTATATTTGCAACTTATCCTTCTCTTCAAGTATAAACAAGTAAACAATCAAAATGGCGGTGTAAACTAAAATTCCATTTTTGTTTAAATCTTCAACAAAAGGTCTCTGATATTTTACATGCAATTGAAACTTGCATATTGCTGATATTATTTCAATTCTGTGATGAAGACATAGTCACTCTGTTTCAATAATGACGATGAAGATTCAAATTGTATAAGTAGATTCCAGAAATGAACTGACTCAAGGAAATGTATGTACTGTATTCTGTCACTTTTTTATGCAATGTGATGTAATTAAAAATGTTCAGATATGTCAGAATTATGAGTGGAAATAAAATTCTATTCTGTAAAGAAATTTCTCCTTTGAATTTGTTTTGTGGGATTTTTTTTCTATCTCTATCCTATTGCCAGCTCATGAATTGTTAGTGTTCAATTTTAGTTTTAGTTAATGGATTTACGTTGTTTTTTTTCCTTTTAGAATGAACTACTAGTTTATTCTTGTAATTTCACTGACCAAGGGAAATATTCAATATTCAATATTCATATTTATTTCGTTTCCAACAGAAAGGTACATGTAAACAAAGATATTACATTTGATTTCATACATAATTCATTTTTTCAAGAAACTATACAAATAAACTTTGCACATAATAAAATTATTACAAGTATTTCTTAATTTCTGAGGAAATGGGGGGGGGGGGGGGATCCACTAAAAAGCAGTGCTTGTAGGTTGTGGATCCCCCTAAGGTTCAAAACTTGCTTATATAAGAATTATGCTGAATTGCTGTTTGGTCTACATGCAACCAGTTCGTCTACTACCAAATTAGTCTATACCAATATGGACTACACCCTGTCTGTCTACTATCTATATGGTCTAATAATCATTTCGTCTACTTGTCATTTGGTCTAATTACCATTAAAGGGAAAGGCCAGTTATGGTCATGCGATTGCATTGTGAAAGAAACGTTGTGGAATTGATCAGAAAAGGTTGATCATCTAGCAGCTAGCATCTGCAAGGTTCTGGAATCATCAAAATGATAAGAAATTTGGCCCATTCTTCGTAAAGTTACAAGCACTATACACAGAAAGATGTATATGGGACTACTCTATATCTCTCACAGACCATGAGAGAAACAAATTTACCAAATATATGAATTAGTAGGCAGTTTCCCGGCAAAATTTTTATTAGTATGTATTAGTGTATTAGTCAAAACATATTCTTTCACATGATTGGTAATGAGAGCTTCCATTTCATTTTTTGAAATTGGGGCGTTTCCAATACTGGTCTTTACCTTTAAGGCTAATGGCCATTTGGTCTAATTTCCATACCGTCTAATCTCCAATGCGTCTACTAAGCATTTGGTTTATTGGCTTCATGCTGCATAGAACACATTAGAACTGGTCCTTATATCCTGACAGTTAATTGTACCAGTTTGTCTAATGCCCATTTCGTCTACCATACAAAAGGTCTAATAATCATTTGGTTATTATTCATGATTAAATAATTATTAGACCATATGGATAGTAGACGAAATGGGCAGTAGACAAACTAGGAACTCGACTAATTGGAAATCAGACTAAATGAGCAATAGACCAAAGGGGAAGTAAACTTATTTGAGATTAGACCAAATGGAAATTGAACCAAAAGACTTTTAGCCTAAATGGCCATTATACCATGTGGGTAGTAGACGGGTCGGGTCGGGTGTAGACCATATGGGAATAGACTAATGGGGTAGTAGACGAACTGGTAGACCAAACGGCAATAAACAGGAATTATCACTAAAAACTGAAGTTGACTTGGAGCTGCAAGGTACAGAGGAGATACATTTAATATGCAAACTAAGACGTATGTAGAAGATTTGTATACACTGTCGCCCGTAAAGTTGGAATAAATTTTTCATACCTGTTTTTAGGAAATTAATGTGACGATGTGGTTTATTTTTTGAAAGATAAATCTTGGGGCACCACAAATATTAGAAATCCTTCATATTTATGGATATTTTAGCCGTCTCTGAACCGATCGTGATCAAGCAAAGATGATTTTGCCATTTAAATTGTATGTCCTTTCAAATTTGACACTCAGTTTTCATTAGCTCACCAAAAAAAATATTTCGTGTTAGCGCCCTCTGCAACAAAACTCAAATATCCCTTTAATGCTTTCCGAGCCAGGTGTAGATTCACAGATTTCAATTCCAATAGTCTCCTTGTGAGCATTATAATTATTTGTTTCTTTACTTTGAAGACATTTTCGGTGGGGACTGTACGATGATGAAAGCGATGTTTAAAATATCATAATGTGCATTTCAACAAGAAAAATGGTCGATGCTATAAATATTTATCTCTTAGTACTTTTCGAGCCAAGTGTAGATTTACAAATTTTGATGCCATTAGTCTCCTTGTGAGAATTATAATTATTGTTTCTTTACTTTGAAGACAATTTCGGTAGGGACAATAAATATGATGATCAAAGTGATGTTTGAAATATTATAACGTGTATTTCATCAAGAAAAGTGGTCGATGCAATAAATATCTAATCCTTAATGCTTTCCCATAATTTCGATCCACTCCATATGTTTCTAAGGTAACGTGTACTTTCCCCAAACAAACAAGATGCAACCCGACCCCTCCCAAAATTATTGGCGCTGATAGGTATTCCAATAAAGCTGTCTCATAATTTTTCATCCAATTTAAGCATGTTATTAACGTAACATATATTTTCAAAAACAAAATTGTGTACGTCCCGCTCCTCAACTTAAAGCTAATACAAGGTTTTGGTATGGGGTCATGAATTTGATTCAAATTAACATATTGGAAGCATATGCGATCCTACAATATTCAGTGATCGTTGTCGCGGTTGAAATTGAGTCTAAAGTTACTTTTTTTTAAGAGCTGAATTGGTATGATCGTATTAACTAAGGTTCACACATTTTGAGGTCTAAAATGTAGGTCCTAAAAGAGCACTCACTAGAAAAGTCATAAATAAGAATAAGAGCAAACACCATGCACTTTGAAGGCATTTGCGGTCCAAAACAAGAACTCAACTCAATCTCTTTAAGGAATAGATATAGCATCGACCATTTTTCTTGTTTAAATGCACGTTACGATATTTTAAACATCACTTTGATCATCATAATTATTGTCCCCACCGAAATTGTCTTCAAAGTAAAGAAACAAATAATTATAACGCTTACGAGGAGACTTATGGAATTAAAATTTGTAATTTTACACTTAGCGGGAAAACCATTAAGGGATAAATATTTATAGCATCGACAATTTTTCTCGTTGAAATGCACGTTACGATATTTTAAACATCACTTTGATCATTGTATCGTCTCCACCGAAATTGTCTTCAATATGTTTCTAAGGTAACGTGTGTTTACTCCAAACAAAAAACTTATTTTC